ACTGTGCACCACTTATTGCGGAGCTGTTTCTGTATTGTTATGAGTTACAGTTACAATTTATGACTAAAATCAGCAAAGATCCATCGAAACAACATCTGATAAGAAAATTTAATAACACTTTTAGATATTTGGATGATATATTCGGTCTCAATAATGACGACTTCAGTATGTACGCTAATAAGAAGAAGGAAAAAAAAAGAAGAAAAAAAGAAAAGAAAGAAAAAAAGAGATTTATCCTGCTGAACTGACTTTAAGTAAAGCTAATACTAACAATGAACACTGCCATTTCCTGGATCTTGATATCTATATCTTAAACGGGAAGCTTGATACTAAAATTTATGATAAAAGAGATGATTTTTCATTTCCTATTGTCAATTGTCCATTTTTAGATGGTGACGTTCCCTTGTCATCATCGTATGGTGTTAATATACCTCGACTTGTTCGATTCGCTCGTGTATGTAACAACGTATACGTATTTTCTTTTAACGAAAGAAATCTCTGTATTACTGAAAAATTATTACACCAGGGTTTTCGATATCACAAACTTGTCAAAACATTTACTAAATTTTATCATCGGTACAAGGACATCATTCGTAAATATAAATCAACACGCAGACATCTTATACGTTCAGGTATTTCACATCCAATCATTTATGGTAATATTCTTTACAAAGCACAAAAATGTCGGCATTCACCTCTAATGCTAACAAAACCTTTAAAAAGACTTATTAAGAAGGGATAATAGTTACGATACTGTTGTCAGGTCATTAAAGATGCCATATTTTGGCTTTAATATTGATTCACTTATAGGGTCTTTGCATCGGAAATAAACACATTTATTCTAAAACCAGCTGTTGGCATGATACGGGTTATGTTTTTCTCATATATTTTATGATAGTATGATACTAAACCGCTAACGGGAGGGATTGTGCTTAATTTTCATATGATGAAGACATAATCTTTCAATCCGTTTAATTGAGGTCTAGAGCTGGCATGTCAGTAACTGCTAGTAGTCCTTTGTTAATTTATGTATCATTGTTCTTTTGTTACCTATTCTGACATCGGACTCGGACTTCTTTTAAACTGAGTTTTACTGTGCGTATTGCTGTGTGTTTGTTTATTCTACATTGGCTAGAGGTATAGGGGAGGGTTGAGATCTCACAAAACATGTTTAACCCCGCTGCATTTTGCGCCTGTCCCTAGTCAGGACTATCTGGCCTTTGTTAGTCTTGTATGTTTTTTTAAATTTTAGTTCATTTATATGTTTTGGAGCTTAGTGTGACGTCCATTTTCACTGAACTAGTACACCTTTTTGTTTAGGGGCCAGCTGAATCCCGCCTCCGGGTGCGGGATTTTATCGCTGTGTTGAAGACCCATTGGTGGCCTTCGGCTGTTGTCTGCTCTTTGGTCGGGTTGTTGTCTCTTTGACACATTCCCCATTTCCATTCTCAATTTTATTGCTGGCAGGCGGGTTCATTGGACACATTTTTAAAACTAGTTACCCTATGATGAGTGTGGCCAAGTTTGGTTAAATTTGTTCCATGCAGTAGTTTCGGAGGAGAAGATTTTTGTTAACGTTAACGGACGACGACGGACGACGGATGGCGGACGCACGTGTTGAGAAAAGTTCACTTGGCCCTCAGGGCCAGGAGAGCTAATGCGGATATGTGATATGATTGCCAATAGGACAACTATCCAACAAGGTTCAAATGGCATGGATAAAAGCAATTAAAGGTCATCGTACGGCCTTAAATAAAGGGAAAAAACATATAACGTATAGTCCACTATAAAAGGCCCAGACACAAAAAAATGTGAAACAATTTATACGAAAAAAATAACGGCCTATAATGTATAATGTTTTATGATAAATCCTTCATGTAATGAGATACGTTTCTTTGTTTATTTGGCAATATCTGTCCCTATCTATTATTTCCTCAGTTTCCTGAGAGGCCTTTTAAATGTCCCGCTCTTTATCCCAGTCGACCCCTAATGCAGGACCTATTGAAATTGTTACTTTGCTGTCGTCCTGAACATGCATGAAATAATTGACGTAAAGCAAACAACAATCAATCAACAAATTTGTAATATCAATATACATGTATGAATATATGCAAAACGAAAAGGTGCTCCAATAAATGGAGAGATGTCCACAGAAGATATTTTTCGCGGGGTGATGACGTATATTAGGTACCAGGCGTAAAAACGTCCGAACATATGTTCCGTCTGGACTAATTTCTATAATTATTTTTTTTCCAATTATGTTGGACACTAGAACCACCATAAACCTTTTCATCATGTAAGATGCTACAAATGAAAGTTTATTAGCGATTTCATGCGCCTTTTTATTAAAAAAAAAGGAATAAATACACCAAATGGGCAATCAAAATTCAGAAAAAGAAAACAGGCAGCACCATGACCAATAAGCATGATAAGAGAAACAACGAAAAGACAAGCAACACTATATATCACAAGTTTAACCTTTCTACAAGTTATGGAGTGCTTTGCAGTATCATGAATAAAGTCAGCTTTAGTTTTTGTTTGTTTTTTTTAAGAAAAAGAGGGGGGTCTTTATTTAATTTTAATTTTTTTATTTTATAATACTCTTATTTGGGTTTCAGTTACGTTATTATTATATGACACAGAGTGGGGCATACCAGGGAACAGGGTGAGCACCATACGTTCTGAAAGTCTAGAATAAAGTTAGAACTGCCAAAGGAAATTAAATATACAATAGAAAAAGCAAAAGAAACCTTATTCATCAGACTGTCCTAGAAGATTATATTTGAAACTCTTTGATTAAAATGACACGCGATACCGTCAATTCTGAAATATTTATACTCTTTATAATGAATTAGTTATAAAATTAAGTTAAATTGTTTCATGTAAAAGTATCAATATTTTTGACTTCATCATCAGCTTACGTACACAGCGAGGGTTACACATACATTGATGCTTTTAATCATTACTGTGCTCCTAGGGTTCGAAAAACATCGTAGAATATATATACTTCCGTGTTGTTTTGCTGCACGTTCGAGACCCATACTTTCTAAATTGTATACTTTAAAAAAAACTAAAAAAATACTTATAACATACATATATCCAATAATAAAAAAAAAATAAAAATGTATACGTTTGTAGTTGTTTCAGAGCACTCAATACGTGTTTCTAAAATAAATATCCAAGTTCGATCAGTTATGCTCCGAGAAAGATTTTGAACCCGAAAATAAAGAAAAACTTTTGGGACGTTAGAAAAACAAAAGAGGCTGTAAAGTACTACCAAAATCTTGGACCAACTTTGATCGAGAAAAGCCAGTTGATTTTTATAGTGAGCTATACTAATTTTATCGAATCATGGAACTCTGTTTTTAATAAAATTTTAACCACCTAGACCCTAACTAGCTGTGACTGGAAGGTAGAAAAAAATAAATGTGCTCAATCAATATGCAGGAACAACTTTAATGCGTCAGATAATATCAGAATAAAATTGAGAATGGAAATCGGGAATGTGTCAAAGAGACAACAACCCGACCAAAGAGCAGAAAACAGCTGAAGGCCACCAATGGGTTTTCAATACAGCGAGAAAATCCCGCACCCGGAGGCGTGCTTCAGCTGGCCCCTAAACAAAAATATTTACTAGTTCAGTAATAATGGACGTCATACTCAACTCCGAAATATATAAAAGAAACTAAAATTAAAAATCATACAAGACTAACAAAGGTCAGAGGCTCCTGACTTGGGACAGGCGCAAAAATGCGGCGGGGTTAAACATGTTTTGTGAGATCTCAACCCTCCCCTATACCTCTAGCCAATGTAGAATAAACAAACACACAGCAATACGCTCAGTAAAACTCAGTTTAAAAGAAGCCCGAGTCCGATGTCAGAAAAGGTAACAAAAGAAACTAAACAAAATGACAATGATACATAAATTAACAAAGGACTACTAGCAGTTACTGACATGCCAGCTCTAGACCTCAATTAAACTGATTGAAAGATTATGTCTTCGTCATATGAATATCAAGCACAATCCCTCCCGTTAGGGGTTTATTATCATACCATCATAAAATATATGAGAAGAACATAACCCGTATCATGCCAACAGCTGGTTTTAGAATAAATGTGTTTATTTCCGATGCAAAGACCCTATAAGTGAATCAATATTAAAGCCAAAATATGGCATCTTTAATGACCTGACAACAGTATCGTAACTATTATCCCTTCTTAATAAGTCTTTTTAAAGGTTTTGTTAGCATTAGAGGTGAATGCCGACATTTTTGTGCTTTGTAAAGAATATTACCATAAATGATTGGATGTGAAATACCTGAACGTATAAGATGTCTGCGTGTTGATTTATATTTACGAATGATGTCCTAGTACCGATGATAAAATTTAGTAAATGTTTAGTCCATTACTAGACATGGACTTCTGATTATATGGAACGTGTTTGCACGGTTTACAATTGACGCCAGTACTTCACAAATTTAACAATCTCAATATAAAACGGGTAAATAACCCAAGTCACCTCTACAGCAATCAACCGAGGATTTAATTCCCACTAACCAGGGATCTTAAAGCCGTATAATGATTTACAAACTACGATTTTAAGGTCACAAATACGTTTCCCTTATAGTTTCTCTACTGACAATTTCTTTCTGCATTATTAATTATTTACTAGGACCTGGGACTATTATACTAGTTTAATAGTCCCAGCTAGGACATCGATAACCCTAGATTTCAGAATTATACATAAATCAGTCTTGCTGATGATTGTGAAAGATTGAATATATGAAGTAACTAGTTGATCTAGGTTTGTAAAAATCATTCTTTATTTGACAAAAGATTTTAAAATCCTTATTATATAAATATACACATAATTTTAGGCATTGTATGTATGCCCAAAATTATGTGTACATATATTTATATTGCAACTAAGTAACTTCTGGTCATCGGGACGGATCAATCAGTTTTAGCTAAACCATGAAAAATATTCCGGGGGAAAAAAGTGGATCATACGGAACAAAATTCTGGTTGATATTTACACCTTACACCATGTAAATATTGTGGAAAATGAAAAATAATGTCGAAGCGGGCAAATAAGAATACAAACAACCAAGCTGAAGATGAAGATGATGAGGAAATCCCCGAGGAATACTTACAAAATACACAAGATAAGGGCGAAAGGCTCAGGATACGAACTGGCTACAGAACACTCATTGAAGACTTGAATAGTTCGTTTTATATGAATGAAAACAATTTAAAAGAAAATATTTTAATGTGTACCGTACACAACAGAACCACATTCGCTTGAGTTGAGGATTTAGTATAAAAATAAAAAATTCAACACTCATGCAAACAATAAAAAAAAATGCCAATCCTGTACTAAGCGCCTGTGAAACGTTAATTATATATCAAAACTATCTTTGCTATAAACTTAATTTGTATAATTAGTTGCTCTGGGAATATGTGAAGAATAATGTATGTATATATATGTTATGAACATAATGAATTAGTGTGACCGAATCATATCAAACGCAAATAAGAATATTACCACAAATCCCATTGTGTGGTCTAGACAGGCTAGGACCACTCATCCAAATTATTGCAAACATTTACCTCGCTCTATGGTACACAGGCTTACCTTAAAAGTAATGTCAAAAACAAAGTCGGGTTGAGTGCCAATATACTATGAGTTGAAAAAATTTCTCCCAGAAGTGATGTTTTGAAGGAAGTTCCAATGTCAAAGCCTCTTAATTTTATGCTAATTTTTGCATTCTTCATGCAAATATATTTTCCTGACAAATTCTTTCAAATAATTTTTGGAAAATCAACACTTCAACAGTTTTAAATCCTAAAAATTTGTAAGTAAATTTTGTCATTGAATGCAGCGAAGCGAGACAACTCGCCACACCAAATTGCCCCACCTTTCCACCAACCCGCCCCACTTATGAAAAAGGGTTAAATCCTATTAAATTTAGTCCAGCCAACTTGCCCCACTTATGAAAAATAGTAAAATCCCTTATTTAGTCCTGCCAACTCGCCCCACTTATGAAAAGTAGTTTAATCTACACAATCTTCTTAACTGTACTGCTAAAATAACAATAGAAAAAATACACTTGAAATACAAATAAAGATAGAAAAATTGATATATGATTCTGATTGAAATTCTCTGAAAATCTGAATCAAGTGTTACACACTTTTGTTGAAAAAACAGCTTCTGATATAGAGTATTCATCAAATCAGCTACAATTTTTGCACTATGATGTTTGAAATACAGAATTGCTAAAATCTTGTGATTTTTTTTCAATGGCCCCCATAAGTGGGGCGAGGTAATAGGACTAAATTCATCAGGATTTTTCGTTAGTTGGGCGAGTTGGCAGACCTTTATTCATCGGGATTAAACTCCTTTTCATAAGTGGGGCGAGTTGGCCGACCTTTATTCACCAGGGTTTTGCTCTTTTTCAGAAGTGGGGCCAGTTGGCAGACCTTTATTCATCACAATATTGCTCTTTTTCAGTAGTGGGGCAAGTTGGCAGGACTAAATTCAACGGAATTTTACCCTTTTTCCTAAGTTTGGCAAGTTGGCAGGAGTAAATTCAACGGGATTTTACCCTTTTTCATAAGTGGGGCCAGTTGTCATCGATTCGCCTACAGGATCATGACGTAATTGTTTATCCAATTGGAATTGATGTGTTATTGAAATGTCAACAGATGTCTAGGACGTCTGAATAAAAAATGCATGGGTTAACTTTCTAATCTCTCAGAACATAGGTTTCACAATTTGCAAACTGAAAGTGTAACTGATCATGCTGATTAATCAGTTCAAAATGGCAGTATCTTTTGGTTAGAAAATTTTCTGAATATTTGATTGTTTATAAAGATGATTCCTTTTGGGAAATTGAGTTTTTAGAGAGGGATCAACCTTGGATTTACTGGATGAAGAAATAACCTGACTCAAGTTTTATGTCCGTTAAAAGCTAAATAGAGCTTAACTTATGACATGAGGTGGATGTGTTTTTCTTTGTAAACCATGCCACCTCTAAATAAAGCTTTTTTGTTATTATCATTTATTTGAGGGATTGATCTTTTAATATTTTTGATGACATCCATGTTAATATTTTTTTGGGCTTCTCTCTCGTGTAGATTTGATAAATGTAGATAAAGCTAAACATATATGATATATGAAACTCATATAATTTGATATTTTTTTTTAGACAAAAAGCATGAGTTAGTTAATCCTGAAAACAACACTTTAACAGAAGCATTAGAAGTAGCCAATACTCTGAATAAGGATGGTATGTATATATTGTATGTTTTTATATTCATAACTACTCTAAATATTAGCACAACAATGTTAAATCTGCAAATTTGCGGAAGCAATTTTTTGTTCTTCCCTCGCCAGGATTCGAACTCATGCTATTGGGATATCAAGACAACAGCCTGCACTGTGTCCATTGCTCTAGACCACTTGGCCACCTAGACTGAACTAATAATTCAGCTTTCGGTGGCCTAGTGTTACCTTTCCTTGTCAGTAGAATCTAGAGTTGTAACACAGTACATGATATATTAGGCATGAAGATGGAATTGATTGCAAATTAGCTAAATATCTATCGTAAAGGATCGTAAGATACAGTCACAGGAATAATTATTTTGATAAGTACGTCTAAACAAGTGACAACTCTATGACAGATCCATTCATTGGATCACCAGTTAAGGTGATACAATGCTGAAAACACATTTTATATTCATAATTTTTATATTCATATTGTATGTTTTTATATACACTGAATGTAAGTAAAATAAGGGCATGTACCTCAGATGACATCAGGCTGCTTGCTGAGAGAGAGAAATTTCTAATTCACCATTTCTTCAATAGTTGTTACATGTATTTGCTCACATGCTGAAGCAGAAAAGTTGTGGAGAGAACCTTATTGGCTTTGTTTTTTTTTAATCTGTGACTCCTTGTAGGTACAATTCAAGTTACCATATACATCTCAACATACTTGGTACATTGATTCTCCATGAGGAGATGATAAGTCTTTTTGTATTTACCTTGGACAATGCAAATGTTTTCAGTATCAAAACTTACTAATTTCATTAAAAATTCATCTTCGCTAGCCAAGGGTAATACGATCCAGTCCCCTCCTCTCCACCCTTGGCAGATTAAGCCAACATTTGTGAGTATAATGCTGCGCCATCTACCGGTAGATAAAAGTCACACCCATTCCGACTACATCATTCATGACCAATGTCAGTACTTGAACTCTCTTCTGTGTGGAGGTGTAAAAATGGTTGTGTCTAGTGTTTACAAATTTCGTATAACAGGAATCGAAAATATACATTGGCATTCCAACATTTGCGCAAGAAACTTAACCAGGAATTTCAATTAGTTGATTAAGAACCTTTAAATTGTCACTAAACATCGTCCAATGTTTTGGGGATAAAGACGTGTTGCTCAATCAGCATGTGACAATTGTTTATTTATAATTTCTACCTTTATACGTGGTCATCTTAAAGGCGCGTTTTGATTGGATGCAGCCAGTTACGACTGTGACCAATGGAAATCATTACCTCGTGTCTCTGGAATTCTAGCTTAATCTGCCAAGGGTGGAGAGGAGGGGACTGGATCGTATTACCCTTGGCTAGCGAAGATGTTAAAAATTATGCACCAATCATTTGATGCCATTTGTGAGCCAAGATGATAAAAGACTCCCATCCTACCTTAAGCATGTAAAGCATATTAAGTGGCACTCCTCAGTGTTTCAGTCAGGATTTTAAAAGGTAATGTTAACGTTGCTAATCTAAAAAAGGGCACTTAGATTGAAAACTGGATAGGAATACGCTTAAGGGCATATTAGCACGTAAACAGAATTAGAAAAAGTATACATTGGCATGACAATATTGATTCATTGTATTGTTTGTTAAAAATGGCATTTTTACTAACTTAATAATCTGACAGATGATTTATTTCACCTTTTATCATTGTTTTGACACTAAGGTACATATTTGTAGATAAAATAAAAAAGGAAACATTTAGGGTGTATGATATATTTGCTTGACAATTGATATGATTAATTTTGGATTTAAAGACAGAAATCTGCCACCCGAATTAAATTTCCATATTTTTTATATGGACTGTGCTTTGACATCCCACTACCCAAGCAAGTCCCAGTAAGAATGGCAGACGTTAAAGCAATCTTAAAGCACAGTGACTTTTGAGATGAAGAACAGCAATAAACATGATAAAAGCCCTGTTCCTTTACTTTTTGTGTTTTTTTTTGCTGTGTATGTACTGATTTTGTATCACGGATCATCTTTTCTATTAAGCTATTGAGATGGGAGCATTCAAATGTTGTACAGACACTTAAGTTATTGGAACATTAAAAAATCCTATATTTACATTTTGTTATTCATCAGTCAAATGTTAATCCTTCTATTCCTAATTAGTGATGAGATTTAAAGTATAATTTTCTTAAAATGATTTTTTTTAATTCAAATAATTAAGCACTTGCACATGATTCTTACTTCAGAAGGTAGGTTTATCCTGGACTAAAAAAACTTACTGATTTATTTCATAACTTTAATTTGTTATCAGAGTTTAAAATGCTACTGATTTTATATACATGTACATGTAGCTGAATTTTTTAACTTTCAGTGAGGACACCCAGAGAAGGGGCTCTTGATTCAACAGCTATCCTCACAATATCCAGTTTAGCCAGACAACAGGCTGACAACTTAAACACAGATTTTGTTAGATTTGAACCAATAGAATTTGCTGAGAAACTGGTTAGTACAATATATGTGCTTTTGTTTGTTTTTATAATTTTGCTCCAAAGGAGAGGGTATATTATATAAAAATCAGATATGGTATGAATCCGTATGATTACCATTGAGACAACTATCCACCAACAGGGTTCTCACTAAATATTTTTGAAGGCAAGTCAAGGGACTCTAGTTCTTGGCCATGGAGATTCCAACAGTGAGAAGATGAAATTTTATTTCTATCTAATTTACGATTTCATTCTCCATCATTCTCCATGCCAAAAAAAGCACATAGAAATGACATCAAATTTATATTATATTTAAACTTTTGATATAGAATGATGATATATGTGTTTAGTTGATACAACATTTTAACATCTTGATGCATCTTTGGAGTCACCAGTTTACTCATGGACTCACCTTAGTGAGAACCCTGACCAAAGACCAAATGAAAAAGATGTAAACAACTGTAGGTAACTGTACAACCTTCAACAAGTATCAAAATCCATACCAAATGGTAAGCATTCAAAAAAGACACCGGGATGACAGAATGTGAAACAATTCAAAAGAGAAAAACAATGGCATGATTTATGCTAAAAGCAATAACCAAAAAATAATTATGCAGATAGCAATCAATGACAACCACTGAATTACAAGCTCCTGGTTTTGTGACAGGCATGTAAAAATATATTATACTGGAGTGAAATTTCACAGCTAATCCTGCAATTTAATAGGTTACCTCGACGGTATATGAGTCCATATACCCTGTGAAAAAAAAGAAGATCACATTGGTATTTAATATTGAAATCAGGACACTCCAGTATACATGGTATAATATAATTGTTATTCAGGGTTTACAGGGGATATGGGCTCATAATTCCTGTCAGTGCCCTATATCCCTTGTCAGATAGGGATATAAAACACTGACAGGAAATATGAGCCAATATTCTCTGTGAAGATCCAGAAAAACACATAGTGTTGGGGTTAAACATGCTTATGAGTGTTAAACCCTTCCATTAAGCTGGAGAATTAATGAGCATCAGTACATTTTGTTAAAATATGAATTTTATAAAACTCGGCTACTGATATTTCTTTCATTATTTACATATTAATAAATTTCTGATGGGCCAATTTTTTTCATAAATGATGTTCTTTGCAACAATTACATAACTTTTTTCTGGTGAAGTCTTTCTTGTCATAATTTGTATCGGTCCCTCTTACATGTCTTAAGTAAAAGTCAGTGAAATATCTTAGCATGTCAAGCATGCAATAAATATAAAATATTCATGTATTTCAGGCTTTAATATTATCATGGGTACATATATAAAATTTCTTTATAGGTAATATTATTATGGATACATATATAAAATTTCTTTATAGGTAATATTATTATGGATTCATATATAAAATTTCTTTATGGGTAATATTATCATGTATTCATATATATATACAATTTTCTAAATATCTTTGACTTAGTTATTGAAAGTTGGAAGTGTTATTGCAGAAAAAATTCTCTAAAGTAAATAATGAATTTTAAAAAATGCAGTTGGTATTTTATTGTTGGCTTTTTTGCAGGTAGCATTTATACAGAGAGAGAACAATGCTCCTTCAGATTCACATAGCAGGATTTCACCAGATGGATGGAAAAACCTTGGTGCCGCAGGACAGAAGCTGTTTAGTAAAAACCCACCATTTCATTTCATGTATGTTATTTAATAAGTATTATTTACATTTTCAAAGGACATGACACAAATTTTGGGATGAATTAAAGTGATTTTAAATTGGATACATCCTGGTAATTTTGGTCAGTAAGGTAATTCAGCTAAACCACTTGAATTAAAAGCTGACAAAACATTTCTAATACTTTGCACTGTACCAATTTAAAAACCAACAAACTAACAATTTATCCCTGAGGTATGAGCAACAGCGTCAACAAAAGATAGTTCATAAAGTTATAAAAAAGATATTTCATTGTTAAATCTACAAATTTTACCGTTATGTCTAATTGTTTGTGTTCACCATAATACAACCAAACACATTTTTATATGCCTGTTAACGGGACGTATTATGGTATACCAATATCCGTTCGTCTGTCCATCGTCAACATGTCGGACAATAACTCAAAAGCGCTTTAACCAATTTTCATGAAACTTTGTTGAAATGTTTATATCTATTGACGTAAGCTCCCTTTCTTTTTTTTCTTAATTGATTTTACCTTTCTGAGTTATAGGATTTTATTCATAAAAAAGGTGGGATTTTCCAGTTTTCGGACAATAACTCAAAAATGGTTTAAGCAGTTTTCATGAAACTGGTGACTGGTTTATATCTATTAGATTAAGCTCCATTTAGTTTTTTTATAAATTAATGATATGACATTGAGGAGTTGTTGAACTTTGTTGAAAAAGCGATGTGCGTATCATGAGCTCATGGCACAGCTCTTTATTTAAAGATGTTCTAATATGATATTATTTTTCATTGTTTTTCAGGGCAGGGTCTTTTGACAGAGATGTGAAAGAAAGACCACCCAAAAATCCTAATAAGCAAAAAAATGCTGACAAGGAAACTATTGACAAAGAGACTATTCCTAAAAAGGTAATACTCCAGTTATCTGATATTGGCACTGTTATTCAGAGTATTGGCTACTTCTATAATTGGTGTATAGAAAGATTGTAAGGTGTACTTGTCTTTCTGGCATTGACTTCATCTGACTCTTGTTCAAGGTTTAGTTTTCGTGATTAGACCAGCTTCTCAGATATTATAAGTTATGGGTTAACGTTTTTGCTGTATAGCATCGAATGATGCTTCGGTGTAGATGTCAGTCCAGGGTATATTTTACCTTGAATTCATTTTCATGGATTATTTATAATTTTAGTTTTAGTGATATCTGACTTCGATCTCAAAGACTTGACATAATATTAAACCATGATCAGTAAATCAGACATAATCAGCTTGTGCACTATTGTTAGTTTATGGTGCATGGCTATGAATACATATGCTAACAAGGTCTGGTGGTGGTGGTGGTGGGGGAGGGGGTGGGTGTGAGTTAACTACAATTTATTTACTGTAACTTTTCAAGAAAATAACATTTTTGAATATCAGATTTATTTATATGGTCTCAAACAAGAAGAAGCACAATAAAGTGTACCCATCAATTTTTCATCGAGTGTGTTAATCACCCTAACACCTACATTCAAGGGCAGTATGTTTTTTATTTTACTGAATGCCCTTTGATTTAAGAGTGTGCACTATGTTATTTGAAGGACAATTGTAAAAAAATAAAGTCATACATTTACATAGTTTACTAATAACAACAAAACGACGGAAATGATGTAGAAATAAGAATCGGTAAACTTCAGCCGTAGCGGGTGTTAATTGTTCCAATCGGCAAACTTCGTGCTCAGGCCGGTGTTAATTTTAGGCAGTATCACCCATTGCTAATATTATCACATGTTGCTATGGGTGGGCGTGGCTTATGAAAAGTTAGTGGAAATTAACAAATGCTGTGTGTCAAATGAAATGAATGGATAATATAAGAAATTTGCATAAAGTATAATAATCTTGGTTATATCAACAGGTAAGAGAGGGGTAATAATTTGTGAAATGCTCTCAATTTTTCTATATTTTATTTTCAGATGCAATCTTTTGATGGCACTGGTGGTAAAAATGAAGCCACAACAGCAGAAGTAGAACGGGTATTGGATATTTTGCAGAAACTTTATAAGCAAACAGATGGTACTAAGTTTTTCTTACCTCCATTTTGCTACCTTCCACCCACATCAGTTTAAAAAAAAGAACTAAAAATATCTATCAACATGATCAAATTAAAAACAAGCATCCTTCGTGTAATACTATGACCACATATGGAGAAGTAACAACACAATTAATAACCTTTTCAATTACTTCATTTAGAACAATAAAAACACAACAACAGTAAACATCAGCATCAGTATTGTTGTTATGGCATATAAGTTAATGTTGTTTGACATACTGAAAAATACTTCCGGTTATGTTTCATAATTTGGAAATTAATTTAAACTTAGAGTAATCACTTATACTGATATAAGACAGGTTTTTGATTCAGCCATGCTGGATCTATGCGATCACTCTGGTTTTGGAGATGGTGCAGAATACTAAGTTGAAGACATATCATGAAACTAATTATGTGTTTTTATGACTTGCAAAAACTTTCTACACCATTTTAATCATCAACTGCAAACTTTTGACATGTTATTTGCCCTTAAATTAAGAAAAGATTGGTCGAATAGCGACTTTATTTTAGATATACACTTACAGATAGTTCCTTTCTAAATCAAAATTTATGATGATTTACTATTTATGAATTAATTTGAAAAAGTATTTGTATATCAATTGAATCAGTTGATAAGAATTTTGAAAGTATTATATTAGTATCTTGTGCTTGTGTAAATTATTGTTCAATGAAATGTAGGTCAACATGCATATTGATATACCTAAGTTGATTCCCACACTTTTTTGAAATGGTATTAGTCCAATTCTTTCCATAGGCAAGTAAGAGTCAGAATGATTATTAACTGTCATGATTTTCAAATAAGTATTAATTAGAAACAACCCCAGGCTTAATTCAAAATAGTTAATATCTCATGACCTGTTACATAATTAAATAGACACAATTTATTAAACACCTAACTGAATACACACATTCTTGACCTCAATAGTAAACCTACAAATGTATTATTTATTTTGATCTACACTACATTAAAATATACTGATAATTTTGCTAGCTAGCTGAATGATTAATCTGATGTGTTTTTTCAAAGAAAATACTTAAAATGAAAAATTTATGTATAAAAAATGCGAGCAAATTTTATTTTACTTGTAAAATCAGTGCCATTATCATCTGACATAAGTCAATAATCAAGTTCTAATTAATTAGTTACAATTATCAGAAATTTAGTTGAAATATTAAATAAAATGGCATAACTCTTACCTGAGCATTATCTGCAATAAAATTTATTTGTTTGTTTTACATTTCTATCCATTTATATTGCTATTTAACAGTAATTGGAAATATCTGAGCATTAGGTATTTGTACAAATAATAATAATAATAATAAATTTTATTTTATTATTGTGTCACATACTGATTGAACATTAAAGAATAACATAATAAAAATATACATTAAAACAATCAGTGTCCAGCCATAAGATTGGCTTATGAGACACATATCTACAAAACATTTCACATTTAGATATATGTAAATATAACATTTCCTAAAATTTGTTTTTTGTACAATTTCAAAAAGATTTATCATTTAAATAATTAAAAATTCAATTAAAAATTCATTTAATAAATTAAATTATAAATTATATAGATAAAAATTATTATTTCATTTGAATATCACATGACTTTAAAAGTAGTAAAATTTAAAGGTTACTAAAACTATAAAAATAAGTATCTCAAACTAAAAATAACTTTCGTCTCATAAAAAAGTTATAAATACTCTTGCTTAAAAATGCTTGAATTTCAGGACAATTCATCATTTCAACTAATTTCTGATCATCGTCCAAAATAGCAAAATTTTCAATATAATTTGAACATTCAGAAAATAAAAGCCATCTCAAGTCATCATAAAGAGAACAATTTAAAAGGAAGTGTTTTTCAGTTTCAACACAATTGTTCGTACAAAGCACACAAAGTCTGTTATGAACTGGAATTGGCGGCCTGGCATACCTTCCGGTTTCGATGGCTAGCGGTAGCGATCCGGCGCGGAACAGAGCCATAACGTGTTTATGTTGTCTAGGTATTAACATTGCAATATATAGTTCAGTATTTCGTTCCTGTTTAAATTGTCTATAAGTACGTAGTTTATTACCGTTTTGGTGTCCACGGTCATTAAAAAGTTCGTTATACCATTCATCATTGTCAAGAAGGTTGATCTTCTCGGTTACAGTTTTCATAATGTATTTAGTATTCAAAGTAACATTACTCACTTCATCGTTTACATTTAATAAATTTACAGTTTTATTCACTTCAAAATTCCATCCTTTTTTCCGTCTCGATGCCCAACGCCAAACCTTAAATATTTTCCTGTTTTGGTCTATCCGTGTTAATTTACATAAATAAAAGTCTTATACAAGAAATGATTTGCTTACTGAGACAAGAAAGCCATCCCATATGTGTCGAAATGTTTGACGTATTTTTACCAACGGACAAAAAGTATTTACATGCCTTATTTTGGACAGTGTTTATAACGGTACATTCAGAATTGAATACAGGAAATGTATTTTTCTTAATGAAGAATGAACACCAATTTAGATAAAAAATAGTTATTATTTTTTTTAATTTTGTTGGTGAGAAAGAGCATTTATAAGGCCTCTTTCTGGAAATGATTAAACCTGTCATTATTAATGGCATATAAAAAATATATTACTTGTTTGACGATTTTCCTTTCCATTCTTGTCAAAAATAAAATCTGACAGAGTCTAAAATTGAAAGATTAGTATATATATCTATATTTGCATCAATATTGAGAAATTCCCTACCTTTGGACAATAACATAGAAATTTTACAGTAAGATTGGAAATGAAAAGAGAAAAAAATTTAGAAAAATGTATGGTCAGAAAGAATATGAGACTAGCTATGAATTTGTCTGGATCACAACATCAACAATGCTTTGATTATGAGAAATTTCCTGAAGCAGTTAAATGTATATAAATTAATTTTTTTCTCAAAATATAAAGGTACTATGGGATTAAAAATTAACAATTTTATACAGATTTAGGGTAAAATTATAAGTTTAATAATGTTTTGGGAGGACATTTTTAGATCGATTGCTTTCATGATATAAAAAGTAAAATGGTAACTCATTCTTGTTTACTTTTATTTTTTTTGTAAATTTTTGCAGTAATTTCCAATTTCATAATCTCCCCCTAAAATGAGCTAAAGTGTTTAAGGTATTTCAATTCATTTATGAAAAAGCTATAGGGGAGCTACCATTTGATTTTTATGGGGGGGGCTAGGATGAAATTTGAAAAAAAAAATGGTTTATTTACTACAATAATGTAATATATGTTCCCTATTGGAATTTTGAAACAAGAATATTATTAAACAAGCAACAAATCCAAGATAGTGGACTCCATAGATGCTAAGTTGTCTATCATATAGTGAAACTGTGGAGTTTTCCATTACTTATACCATTCAAATATTTATTACTAAGTTTTAATTTAAAGGTTTGTGACTATTTTTTAAAATGGAGTCTTTGACAGTAGAAGATGAGGAGGTAGTGAGACATTGCTTATCTAGACCTATATTTTTATTTTCAGAAAATCCAATTTGTTTCTTTGAATTCGTTTTAAATCCAGAATCATTTGGTCAGACCATAGAGAATATATTTTACACCTCATTTTTAATAAAGGTAAGTGGCTTATTTACTTAGTAACTTTCCCATGTTCAGTAGCATTAATCCTATAATGCTTAATAACTGAAGGTTGTAATAGAACATCTGATGGGACAGTCTTGCATGAATGTCAAAAAATGTTGAATCACACCTGAAACAAAAATCATCTTATCTTCTGAAGATAGGGACAGTCCGTTATTCAAAAGCATGAATTTAAATGTTCAACGAATTAAATATTTTCTGTAGGCTTGTATGCGGATATTGACAAAATCAAATATCCATGAAAATGCAAGCTTTCCTCAACTCATGAAAATTGATACCCATGAAAGTAAATAAATCCATAATTTAAGAAATCTATGTTGTCTAAAGATAAATACATGTTTAACCCCGCCGCATTTGAGCCTGTCCCAAGTCGGGAGCCTCTGGCCTTTGTTAGTCTTGTATGTTTTTTTAATTTTAGTTCATTTATATGTTTTGGAGTTTAGAGTGATATCCATTTTCACTGAACTAGTACACAATTTTATTTAGGAGCCAGCTGAGGACCACCTCCGGGTGCAGGATTTTCTTGCTGCATTGAAAAAAAACTTTTTTTTTATTAAAGTATTATTTGATAAAAAAAAAATTAAATATTAGAGGACAAAAAGTTTTGATAACAGGTTTTCGTTTTTCTTTTATAACTGCATTATGACCACATAATATATTCTATGCAGTAAATGATTTCAAAATATACTAAAAATGAAGTTAATATTGAGTTTTGATAATATAAGTTTTGCACAGCCTTTTTATTGCAGGATGGTTTAGCAAAGACAACACTAGATGAAGATAATTTACCATTGATAGGTAACTACCATTGAAAATTGTTTTTATATGACTGCACAATTTCAGTGGGTTAACTTCAAAGTCTTAAATTCTTGGGTTTCTTTTAAATGCTGAATCTAACTGTGTATTTAGGTTTTGGAATTTGGTCTTGTTTTTATTACACCCATTTACAGAATGTATTATGGTATACCGTTGTCTGTCGGTCATCAACATGACGGATAATAAATAACTCAAAAACACTTAAACCAATATTCATGAAACTTTGGTAAATTGTTTATATCTATTGACGTTAGCTCCCTTTCGATTTTTATAAATTCTAGATTTTACATTTCCTAGTTATGGGATTTTATTTGTAAATATGTTGTTCTAACAATCAACAATAATCTTAGCCTAAGGATATTTCCCTTTACATAACTAATTTTGAAGTACAAAAATGTCCCTTGCTTAAGATGCCATGGGAAATTTTCATTTTAAACCATCATATTTTTATGTTAAAATCTGTTCAGATGGATATATTTAAACACTTTCTACACAATTATTAATATAGCAGTCACAACATACAAGAATTGAGTCTAATATACTTGACAATTTTAACTTTCCAAAAGACGTTTGGAAATTTAGTAAAAGCAAGCTATCATTGTTCTTCTGTAATAAATGGAAACCTAAATAGTTACTTTAAATTTTGTGACTCGCATGAGGTAAATAAGAAAACCTTTTAAAATATCTAAATTAACTTTTTTAAATAAAAGTTTTGAAATCAAGAAAAAGTTTTTTAAGAATAACAAATATTTCATTTGTATCTCTCTCTATATATATATCTTTATCTTTACAAATTTTTCTCCATAAAAATAAAAAATGCAATTAAATAATCAGCATTGAAAATTAAATTGAGAATTCATGTAACAATAAGGGTTGATCTTTGAAAACTTAATTAAAACAAAACTTGTACAAATATTTTCACTGTTAAATAGTGCATGTGTTAAAGTTTCAGTCCAGCCTGTTGTCCTATTTATGATTTTTTATGCCCCCGCTGTAGCGCAGGGGGCATTAAGTTTTACCCTTGTCTGTCTGTACGTCCCAAAATTGGTTTCCGTTCTCTAACTTTAGTTTGCCTCAACCAAATGTTATGAAACTTATACACAATGCTTATTTCCACAAAACACAGATCAAGTTTGAATTTTGGTGGCGTCACTTTTACCGTTGTCGAGTTATGCCCCTTTAAAAATGGAAAAATTGCTGAATTTTTCGTTTCCGTTCTCTAATTTTAGTTTGCCTCAACCAAATTTTATGAAACTTATACACAATGCTTATTACCACAAAACACAGATCAAGTTTGAATTTTGGTGGTGTCACTTTAACCATTCTAGAGTTATTTCCTATATGATACAGCTCTTACATGTACATGTCTTTGGAGAAAAGTAATTGAAATGTAATTGTAATGTAATTAATTACATTTGAAAATCAATGTAATTAATAACATTTAAAAATCAATGTAATTGAAATATAATTAATTATTACTTTGGCATGTAATTGACCCCAGATCATGGTTAAATGGGTTCAAAATAATTAAACTTTGTTTGCTTTCAACAAAAATTGAATATATGGAGTCTTATGATATGCTGAATCTTACCGTGTATTTAGATTTTGGATTTTGGGCCCGTTATCAAATTGGTCCACATTGAGGTCCAAAGGGTCCAAAATTAAACTTTGTTTGATTTCATCAAAAATTTAATTCTTGGGCGTCTTTGATATGCTGAATCTAACCATGTATTTAGATTTTGGATACTGGACCATAATGGGTAAATGTCCAATTTCAAATTTTTAAGATCTTGCGCCACATTCATTCTGTGTGAGAAACCTATGCTGTGTCAAATATTTAATCACAAATCCAAATTCAGAGGTGTATCAAGCTCAAATGTTATGTCCATACTTGCCCCAATTGTTTGGGGTTGGACCTCTGCGGTAGTATCAAGCTGCCCCCTGGGGAGTATTTTATATCAATACTAGAGACACCCCAAGAAACAATATAATGCTATTTGAAGACCAGATATGAGGTAAACATCAATGAGACAACAACCCAATGACACAAATAAACAAATGAATGTTTACTACATAGTTTTAGTAAGAAAACTATTTAACCTCAACTAAGATCAAAACTTCATTTTAAAGCTTTAATTTGTGTGTTTTGATAAATTTTGTCCACAATTTCAAATAAATTATGCCATTGTACATATATTAGATCTTCCTCTTTTCAAGCATGTATCACATATGAAGTCAATTTATGCATGTGAGTGTATCTTAAAATGTTGTTAAACATCAGGTCTATTATTATCCTCCTACTCTAAAGAATGGTATTAAAGATTAAGAATGTTGTCATGTCAGGTTCAGGAATTTTTGTCAGATGTTCGGACTCCTTGGATTTTTTCCTATGATACAGGGTAAAATATTTTGCCCCATATCGCCCACTTTTCTTTTCATAGAAGACTTCAATAGCTCATAAAAAGTCATAACCAAAATTTAAGCAGATTGTAGATTTTTTTTCAGACGATTTGAGACCCAAATAATGCCAATGCTAAATACAAGGTAAAATGTCCTAGTAAACCTTTTCCCGCCATTTTTTAAAAATCAAATATTTGAAAAGGAGTTCCTTAACCTATCACTATTTTTAGCTTATTTTGTTCCTTAACTGACGCTCATCTGACTTAGACTAAATTTTAAATTCTAGATTTTTAAAATTTCACCCGACTACATCCTCAAGTCTATGTCTGTCTGTGATTCCATCTGTCCATCCCATTTTGGTCATAGTTTGTCAAGAACTTCAAATCAGAGCTCCCTGAGATTTGGTATCAAGCTTCATGTGAGCGAGCATGTTTGATGCATTTTTGAATTCATTGCTGATCAACTTCATGTTTACAGAGTACTTATATATTCTTACACATAATGACCATGTAGGAAATTTTCGACACATTTTTCACAGAAACTACAAATCAAGCCTTTTGAAATGTGGAATCAAGATGCAATTTAACACCCATCACTCTTCCACTTTCTGTTTACCGAATACTTATAGCGGGGGTATTGTAAGTGATACATTTTAATTGTCAAAGAAAATAGAAGTCATTAATAAATTAACCTGTACAAATGATTATTTGCACATACTAGCAAACAACAAAACTGACCAAATCTGTAGAAAACAAACAAGTTTATTACATGTTGTCTGGTTTTATCTTACAGAGCCTGTAGAGAACAATGAAGCAGAAAGAAATAAACAACACATCAAAACTAGAAATCACCAAACAATTCTGTCTATAACTCCTGCTGAATGGAAGGTATGTTAAACACTCGAGGTAGAATCACCAAATAATTCTGTCTATAACTCCTGCTGAATGGAAGGTATGTTAAACACTCGATGTAGAATCACCAAACAATTCTGTCTATAACTCCTGCTGAATGGAAGGTATGTTAAACACTCGAGATAGAATCACCAAATAATTCTGTCTATAACTCCTGCTGAATGGAAGGTATGTTAAACACTCGAGATAGAATCACCAAACAATTCTGTCTATAACTCCTGCTGAATGGAAGGTATGTTAAACACTCAGATAGAATCACCAAACAATTCTGTCTATAACTCCTGCTGAATGGAAGGTATGTTAAACACTCGAGATAGAATCACCAAACAATTCTGTCTATAACTCCTGCTGAATGGAAGGTATGTTAAACACTCAAGATAGTTCACCAAACAATTCTGTCTATAACTCCTGCTGAATGGAAGGTATGTTAAACACTCGAGATAGAATCACCAAACAATTCTGTCTATAACTCCTGCTGAATGGAAGGTATTTAATACATTTCAGTTGGAATAATCAACCATATTTGTTAATTCAATCTGCTGATTGAAGATAATATATCATGTTTAAATAAAAATCACCAATAGACCATGTTGAATAGAAGGTGTGAAACCTACACTGCAAAGAATCACCAAACTATTCTGTGTTTATCTCTAGGTGAATTAAAGTAATTGAGAAACAAATTGAAAGCATTGAAGTTGTACACAAATTGTAGATTCTTTCAACATTTCAAAGGAACATCTATTTTTAGGCATTTGGTGTATGGAATAATTGTAAGGTGTACAAGTCAGTCTGGCAGGGTTCATCTGACCTTGACCTCATCTCTTACAAGTCCTTTGATACATATAAAACTATTTTTATTTGGTAGAATATTTTAGAATCCTTAGCTGAAAATGGTTAGCCTCAGCTTTCATTTCTCATATTGGTCAATATACACATTAAATGCAGAGATTTTGTAAATATTTCACAGTTAAAATTACTACGAAAAAAGTTAACAGCAGAAAACTAGATATCTTTGTCAAAACCTAGAAATATAAATACAAAGCTGTGATACTACAAATTTTGATATTGGCTCAAAGACATTTTGCCCCTTAACTCTGCTTGTGATTAAAAAGAGGTAATTGGTCTTACATTTTTTTGAATACTTTTCTTTTGTTTTCCCTTATGATTTAGTCTAGAATATTGCTGAAAACTTTCAATGAAGATGATTTGTATTTGATGAAATTCCTTCTGTTCTAATGAAATGATCAGATTTAACTTAGTATTTCCTGTTTTTATATTAGGAATTAATACGTGTCTATCAAATAGAAGAACCACTTATACCAACCAGAGATCATACAATACCTCCAACTAAAAAACCATTAATAGAATCTAAAACACAGAACGGTGCAACTTCACGTGTAAAAGGAAAGAAATGATTTACATACGGAAGCTAAAACACACAATGGTACACCACCAACTGGGAAATGAAAGAAATGATTTACATACGGAAGCTAAAACACACAATGGTACACCACCAACTGGGAAAGGAAAGAAATGATTTACATACGGAAGCTAAAACACATAATGGTACACCACCATCTAGGAAAGGAAAGAAATGAAGCTCATAAAGAAGAAGTTGGGAAAAATTTCAGAACAACCTAGATTACACATAATGCAGACCTTATTTTTAATGTGCCTTTACTTATTTTTATTCATTATCAATAATTAATACTCAAAACTCACCACTATGTTTTCAGTGTTTTTTAAGGACTTATAGAATAGTGTGCAAATAAGAATCATGTTAAAACCTGACTTCAGTGAAACATTAAATATTTCTTACATATTATTATTTCTATTGTATTGTTGTTATCTAGTCATGTAAAAACTTCAGTAAAAGTAGATGTTGTTTTCTCTTGCAGAAAATCACTAATAACTTTATGTTTTGAAATTGTCTATATATATTCAATACTTACCCTGCATGCATTTTATCACAAACAAATACTGAAAGCATTTTAAAATGATTTATAGAAGAACCAGTTTTGGAAGAAGTTGTAGGGTATTGTATAAAGATATAGAACACATATTTTTTTTCTTTTGTACGTAATATTTTATTGTTAGTGTGAAATATTTACTGTTGGAAAATATGTTTGTAATTTTATTATTTGAAGAAAAAAATTGAAGATCCTTTTCAAATTTGGATGCAGGTTTCCACTCATCAATACCTTGGACAAGTTGGATAATTCTAAAATCATAAATGGGGGACCATTTAGTAGGTAGGGGTGTTTTGAAAATATCCCAAATTAATTCTAGGATTGTGCCTTATTTTTTTATCAGATCCTTTTCAAATTTATATAAAGATTTTCACTCTTCAAACCAACAAATGAGTTTGTTTATCAAAAAAATCTCAAAAGGGAGGCCAGTTTTTAGAGGGTTACTTGTACAAAAGAGCATTGTGTTTGTGAACTTCTTCATGAAAGATTATTTCATTGATTGGAATTAATGGGAGCCAGAAAGAGAGCATTCCTATTTCCATACTCATACATGTTTCGTTTTCAACAGTGCAGATATTTATTTGCCTTTATTTTCAGCATTTATTTTACTTTTTTACCTGTTAGTCCATGCAATTTTAAAATTATTTGATACTTTTGAAAATGACTACTAGTGTTTATTGCATAAACCAAATGATAAAATTACAGTTTTTTTAACCAGTCAATTAGAGGTGCATTAGCTTTTAAAACTGACAGCTTTTGAAAATCAGATCCCTTAAAATAATGGCTTTAGAATAGCTGGCTGTTGTACTAAAGTGAAGTCATTGAAAGCCAGCTGTCAACCTAAGCAAGTTTAAATTTTAGATGACTCAATATTTATAATGAAGCTTGTTACATTAAAGAAAATAGTTGTTTAGTTATTTGGTTTTGTGAAAAAAAAATTGGTTTATTTTGATAATAGGTAAGATTATAAAACAAAAAATTATTGGTTTCATTCTGTCTTATCACAGAAATTTAAATTTGATTTTTTATCGATCTTTATTTGTAAATCATTGAGTTGTCTCCCTTTTCAGGATTCTTTTCATTGTATTCTACAGAATTTCGTCTCCTTTGAAAAAATTCTAAATAAAAGTTTACTTTTACAGCATTGGTCGTAATTTTTACTTGTTATATATTAACTTAAAGCAATAATTCTAATCATTTGATTTTTTAATGGGCAGCAAACTCATATCAAAGTCTTGTGTTCAACTTTTGATATCACTTATTATCAAAGATATTGGTATTTCATTTCACATCAATACATTTTATTTTACATTACCTGTTTTCTTCATTAGTTTCATTTCTTAAGTTACTGAACAAAGATGTACATTTTATTTGTGATAGTATTTTTAGTTTTAAGTTTTTAATGTATCAATTGTTTTTAGATAAAAATAAATGTAGGAGAAATGTTTCCTAGATTGAGGTAAACATGCTGTAAATATTAATTCTACATGTTTTAGTATTTTAGTGGTCTGGTACAATGAAAAAGGTCAGTGTTTTTCATAGAGGGTTTATACATAACAGTAACCCCATGCTTTAATTAAGCCTCTTTTTTTCATAATGTGATAATCCCTATTACTCTAGATAAGCACTACCCTTCAAAATTTGTGACCACCATCATTTCAGTCAACCCCCCCCCAAAAGAAACCTATATTGAAAAAATTTCTAGGAAAAACACTGAGTTTTCAGAAAAATGTTTTTTTTTATTTGCTCTGCATATGCATCCTTATTGAATTCTTAATATTTGACCAACTATTTATTTGGTATTAGAATAAAGTATACCATATCAGATCACTGAAGCTAACAACGTGAAGGAATTTAAAGTGAACTGTAAATAATTGTTTATGACAATCAGTAACCATGTATCTTACTGAATCACCTACCCATGTTACAAATGTTTCTAGTGAAAGCAAATGTTGAATATGTATTAAGAATAGTGCTGATGTCCATTTTTATACGACCGCAAAAAAATTTTTGTGGTCGTATATTGGTATGACGTTGGCGTCGTCGTCGTTGTCGTCGTCGTCCAAAGACACATTGGTTTTCGCACTCTAACTTTAGTTTAAGTGAATGGATCTTTATGAAATTTTACCACAAGGTTCAATACCACAAAAGGAAGGTTGGGATTGATTTTGGGGGTTATGGTAATAACAGTAAAGGAATTAGGGGCCAAAAAGGGGCCAAAAATAAGCATTTTTGTAACTTCCAGACATAACTTGTGTGTTAGTGTATGGATATCTCTGACATTGTACCACAAGGTTCCATATCACTAAAGGAATGCTGGGATTGATTTTGGGGGTAATTGCCTCCAAATTTTAGGAATTAGGGGCCAAAAAAGGGGCAAAAAACAAGCATTTTTCTAGTTTCATGACAATAACTTGTGTGTAAGTGTATGGATCTTTCTGAAATTGTACTACAAGGTTCCATATCACAAAGGGAAAGCTGGAATTGAGTTTGGGGGTAATCGCCCAAAACGTTTAGGAGTAAGGGGCCAAAAAGGGGCCAAAAAACACATTTTTTTCTAGTTTCCAGACAATAACTTGTGTTCAAGTGTATGGATCTCTCTGAAATTGTACTGCAAGGTACCATACCACAAAGGGAAGGCTGGGATTGAGTTTGGGGGTGATGAATCATAATGGGGGTTCAAAAAATTTTGGGGGGGGATTTATTTTTTTTTCCTTTTTTTTCTTTTTTTCCTTTTTTGTTTCTTTTAAAATTTTCCATTTTAAGTTGGTTATTTCTGATTTATATTTAAAATCAAATAATAATGATATGGTAGGAGATACACACCAAACAGGATGTGTAAATTATTATATAATAAGTATTGTGCAATAGCAAGAAATTTTCAATTGCACAGTATTGCACAATAGCAAGAAATCTTCAATTGCACAGTATTGCACAATAGCAAGAAATCTTCAATTGCACAGTATTGCGCAATAGCAAGAAATATCCAATAGCACAATATTGCGCAATAGCAAGAAATTGTCAATTGTACAGTATTGCGCAATAGCAAGAAATATTTAATAGCACAGGATTGTGCAAAAGAAGATACTTCCTATAAATTGCTTATTTCTTGACCAATTTCAATGGGGTTTTATTCTTGATTTCATGGGGTTCTTTAATATGCTGAATCTAACCGTGTATTTAGTTTTTGGATTTTGGGCCCCGTTTTTAAATTGGTCCACATTGAGGTCCAAAGGGTCCAAAATTAAACTTTGTTTGATTTCATCAAAAATTGAATTATTGGGGTTCTTTGATATGCCGAATCTAACTGTGTATTTAGATTCTTAAATTTTGGTTCCGTTTTCAAATTGGTCTACATTAAGGTCCAAAGGGTCCAAAATTAAACTTAGTTTGATTTTAACAAAAATTGAATTCTTAGGGTTCTTTGATATGCTGAATCTAAACATGTATTTAGATTTTTGATTATGGGCCCAGTTTTCAAGTTGGTCCAAATCGGGGTCCAAAATTAAACTTTGTTTGATTTCAACAAAAATTGAATATATGGGGTTCTTTGATATGCTGAATCTAACCATGTATTTAGATTTTTGATTTTTGGGCCCCGTTATCAACTTTGTCCACATTGAGGTCAAAAGGGTCCAAAATTAAACTTTGTTTGATTTCATCAAAAATTGAATTATTGGGGTTCTTTGATATGCCGAATCTAACCGTGTATTTAGATTCTTAATTTTTGGTTCCGTTTTCAAATTGGTCTACATTAAGGTCCAAAGGGTCCAAAATTAAACTTAGTTTGATTTTAACAAAAATTGAATTCTTAGGGTTCTTTGATATGCTGAATCTAAACATGTATTTAGATTTTTGATTATGGGCCCAGTTTTCAAGTTGGTCCAAATCGGGGTCCAAAATTAAACTTTGTTTGATTTCAACAAAAATTGAATATATGGGGTTCTTTGATATGCTGAATCTAACCATGTATTTTGATTTTTGATTTTTGGGCCCCGTTATCAACTTTGTCCACATTGAGGTCAAAAGGGTCCAAAATTAAACTTTTGTTTGATTTCATCAAAAATTGAATTCTTGGGGTTCTTTGATATGCTGAATCTAACCATGTATTTAGATTTTGGATATTGGACCATAATAGGTGAATGTCCAATTTAAAATTTTTAAGTTCTTAGACCACATTAAATCTGTGTTAGAAACCTATGCTGTGTCAAATATTTAATCACAATCCAAATCCAAAGCTGTATCAAGCTTGAATGTTGTGTCCATACTTCCCCCAACTGTTCAGGGTTCGACCTCTGCGGTCGTATCAAGCTGCGCCCTGCGGAGCATTTTATCTAAAATGCTTTCTTAAATCCTAGACACTGGATGAGTTTTGTATGACCTGTCTAAAAAGATATTCCTGTAAAATTTAATATGATGTAGGTACCGGTAGATTTATTACTATATAAACATAAATGTCTTTTATTCATCAGACAGTAAAATACTAAGTCTCCCAAATAAAGGTTTTTTGTCGAGCCTTCGACTTTTGTCGAAAAAGCGAGACATAGCGATCCTACATTCCGTCGGCGTCGTCGTCGTCGTCGTCGTCGGCGGCGGCGTCCACAAATATTCACTCTGTGGTTAAAGTTTTTGAAATTTTAATAACTTTCTTAAACTATCCTGGATTTCTACCAAACTTGGACAGAACCTTGTTTATGATCATAAGATTATATTCAAAAGTAAATTTTGTAAAAAAAAAATTCCATTTTTTCCGTATTTTACTAATAAGTGGACTTAGTTTTTCTGCCAGGAAACATTACATTCACTCTGTGGTTAAAGTTTTTGAAATTTTAATAACTTTCTTAAACTATCCTGGATTTCTACCAAACTTGGAAAGAAGCTTGTTTATGATCATAAGATAGTATCCAAAGTAAATTTTGTAAAAAAAAAATTCCATTTTTTCCGTATTTTACTTATAAATGGACTTAGTTTTTCTGCCAGTTAACATTACATTCACTCCGTGGTTAAAGTTTTAAAAATTTTAACAACTTTCTTAAACTATCCTGGATTTGTACCACACTTGGACAGAAGCTTGTTTATGATCAAAAGCTAGTATCTAGAAGGAAATTTTGATAAAATTTTGTTCCATTTTTTCTGTATTTTACTTATAAATGGACTTAGTTTTTCTTCCAGTCAACAGTACATACATTCTGCAGTTTAAGTTTTTAAAACATTTATTAGATTCATAAATTATCCTGGATTTTTACCAAACTTGGACAGAAGCTTCTTACAATCAAAAGATAGTATAGAGAGGAATATTTTTATTAATTTTTTTCCTCATTTTTGTTGAGCCTGCGATTAACACCAAAAGTAGGCGAGACACTGGGTTCCGCGGAACCCTTACGAATTTTTTTATTCATTTCTTACAGTCTTATTTACTGAACATCATTAGTGTTGTCCTATAATACACGGTCAGTAAATTTTTAATTGGGTGAAAGGTCAGCTTTAGTCCCCATATAAAATTTACTGACCTTGTATATACAATATTAGGCTACTGATGGGCTGAGTAGTATTTATACCCTACCAACAATCTGATACTTTGAAAGAAAAAAAGCATCAGTATCTATAAGGTAAGATATAGGATAAATATTGTTACACAAAAAACTTCCAAGTGAAAATTCTTTGGTAAGAATAGCTGCCAGAAGTTTGGTACAGATGTCAATTCACTTAAATTTCTGTTGGTAGAACTTCATCTGCAGAGAAAATGTGAATTTTCAAATTTGGTAAAGAGGAAGGTAATTGGGTTGATTTGATTAAATCCAAAATAGAAAATATTTAATTTGGGAGACTTGAGATCACCAACTGTAACATGTTGTATGTTACACGATCAGCTGAATCATAGAACTCATTTCACATCATATTGTTATTTTATTATTTTTATATTGCCAATTGTTTTTATTGAATTATAAAAAATGAAATAAAATGTGAACAACAAATATTTCTGTTAGATTACTGATAAAGCCATAGAAATGAATATCCCTTTTTAGCTCACCTTAAGATCCAGTGGTAGCTTTTGTGATCACTTGGCGTCCGTCGTCTGTTAACTTTTACAAAGATCATCTCCTCTGAAACTATTTGGCCAAACTTGGCCACAATGGGGTATCTAGTTTAAAAAATGTGTTTGATGACCCCCCCCCCCCCCCCCCCCCCCCCAGAAAACAAACATTGCCTATTTGGAAAAAAGCTATAAATAGAGAAAATCTGACAAAGGCAGAAGTGTTCAGAATGATGAGATCTACCTAATGTCCATTTACATCAAAACTGTCAAACTACACTATAATTCAGTAATACATAAGCTATAACTGCTGACTACCACTTCATTTTAACTCTGGTGGATATTTGTCTCGTTGGCAATCATACTACATCTCATTTTTATATATGTATAAAAGATGGATTATCCATCATTTCTTCATTTTGAAATATAAAGCTTGATACAAATAAAAAACACTGCTGTCACAAAATTAGCACATATAGCTATGTCTCACATTGTTGAAATTCTTTGCAGGCAAGATAATAAAACAAAGACATTTACAGGTCATTCAATAACAGAAATTGCCAATACCATGTGTAAAGTTCTTAGTCTAGACAAGTTCTGTTTAAGAATTTAACAGACACCCAAAGATCTGTCATTAGCTTAAACATTTGAACTCTGAACTCTACAGTAGAAGTTTTTACCTTTAATCTCACAAACCTATTGGTATACAACTTATATTTTTTATTTTAGGCTATAAATGAACTCAACACTAAGAAATGTTTAAACATTTATTAAAAAGACAAAAAAAATTCAATAACAAATATTTCAAACAAATATAAATATCACAAATCTAATATCAGATGTGTGTTAATATAAACCGTCATTTAACTTACATACTATTCTAAATAGAGAATATACTATGACTTTTTTCAATATCACACTCTTATCAACCAAATACACCAATATAATCCAAAGAGATTTGGTAAAGAGATAACATTGATAAAGGGTTGATATATCCTGTGATATTGAGAAAGCCATAATATAGACACTTTATTCAGATAAGGGGTTTGATTAAGCCTTTTTCAACAATGACTTATATCAATATCAGGGATGGTTGATACAGACTGATTGCCATTGATTGTATTTCATCTAAATTTTACTTGATTTACTACTACGTATATAATAGATATAAAAACTATTATTACAAATATATTATCAACTGGTCACCCTTTCTTTAAATTCAAAATTAGCTAGACAATAATTTCATTGAAGGAAGGTTCATTTCTCATATTGTTCAATATACACTTTCCTACCTAAGGTCGGTGGTTTTCTCCAGGGACCCCAGCTTCCTACACCAATAAAAAACTGACCGCCATGAAATAGCACAATAGTGTTTAAAGTGGACTTAAACACCAATCAATCAATCAATATACACATTAAATGCAGACATTTCTCAGATTTCACTTAAGATTTTGTAAATAGTTCAGTTAAATTACTTCGAAAAAAGTTAACAGCAGAAAACTAGACATCTTTGTCAAAACCTAGAAATATAAATACAAAACTGTGATACTACAAATTTTGATATTGGCTCAAAGACATTTTGCTAATAACTCTGCTTGTGATAAAAAGAGGTAATTGGTCTTACATTTTTTTTAATACTTTTCTTTTGTTTTTCCTTATGAGTTTTTCTAGAATATTGCTGAAAACTTTCAATGAAGATGATTAATATTTGATGAAATTCCTTCTGTTCTAATGAAATGATCAGATTTAATTTAGAATTTCATGTTTTTATTTTAGGAATTGATACGTGTCTATCAAATAAAAAAACCACTTATACCAAGCAGAGATTATACAATACCTCCAACTAAAAAACCATTAATACAATCTAAATCAGACAATGGTGCAACTTCACGTGTAAAAGGAAAGAAATGATTTACATACGGAAGCTAAAACACACAATGGTACACCACCATCTAGGAAAGGAAAGAAATGAAGCTCATAAAGAAGAAGTTGGGAAAAATTTCCGAGCAAGCTAGATTACACATAATGCAGACCTTATTTTTAATGTGCCTTTACTTATTTTTATTCATTATCAATAATTAATACTCAAAACTCACCACTATGTTTTCAGTGTTTTTTAAGGACTTATAGAATAGTGTGCAAATAAGAATCATGTTAAAACCTGACTTCAGTGAAACATTAAATATTTCTTACATATTATTATTTCTATTGTTTTGTTGTTATCTAGTCATGTAAAAACTTCAGTATGAGTAGATGTTGCTTTCTTTTGCAGAAAGAGAGCATTCCTATTTCCATACTCATACATGTTTTGTTTTCAACAGTGCAGATATTTATTTGCCTTTATTTTCAGCATTTATTTTACTTTTTTACCTGTTAGGCCATGCAATTTTAAAATTAGGTGATACTTTGTAAAATGACTACTAGTGTTGCACAAACCAAATGATAAAAACCTGAGTCTATTACAAGTGCATTGTTACATTAGCTTTTAAAACTGACAGCTTTTGAAAATATGATCCCTCTGGCATAGCTTGCTGTTATACAGAAGTGAAGTCAGAGCCAGCTGTCAACCTAAGCAAGTTTAAATTCTACAAATGATGCAACATTTATAATGGAGCTTGCTACATTGAAGAAAATAGTTGTTTAGTCACTTGGTTTGTGCAAAAAATTCTGTTGATTTTAATGGTAGGTAAAATTATGAAACAAATAATTATTGGTTTCATTCTGTCTGATCACAGAAATTTAAATTTGATTTGTTATCCATCTTTATTTGTAAATCATTGAGTTGTCTCCCTTTGCAGGATTCTTTTCATTGCATTCTACAGAATATCATCTCCTTTGAACAGCATTGGTCGTAATTTTTGTCGAGCCTGCGACTTTTGTCGCAGAAAGCTCGACATAGGGATAGTGATCCGGCGGCGGCGGCGGCGGCGTTAGCTTACTTCTTAAAAGCTTTATATTTTAGAAGGTAGAAGACCTGGATGCTTCATACTTTGTATATAGATGCCTTATATTACAAAGTTTCCGCCTGTCATATGTCCATTGTCCTTGACCTCATTTTCATGGTTCAGTGACTACTTGAAAAAAAAGTCAACATTTTTTGTAATGTTAATTTCTTTCTTATTATGAGTAATAGGATAACTATATTTAGTATGTGTGTACCTTGCAAGGTCCTCATGCCTGTCAGACAATTTTCATTTGACCTCGACCTCATTTCATGGATCAGTGAACAAGGTTAAGTTTTCGTGGTGAAGTCCATATTTCAGATACTATAAGCAGTAGGTCTACTATATTTGGTATATGGAATGATTGTAAGGTGTACATGTCCAACTGGTAGGTGTCATCTGACCTTGACCTCATTTTCATGGTTCAGTGGTCAAAGTTAAGTTTTTGAGTTTTGGTCTTTTTTTCTAATACTATATGCAAACTATAAATGGTGTATGGAAATATTTTATGATGTACATGTCAGTCTCACAGGTTTTATTTGACCTTGACCTCATTTTCACGGTTCATTTCTCAGTGTTAAGTTTTTGTGTTTTGGTCTGTTATTCTTCAACTATAAGCAATAGATCAACTATATTTGATGTATGGAAGGATTGTAAGGTGTATATGTCTGTCTGGCAGGTATCATCTGACCTTGACCTCATTTTCATGGTTCATTGGTCAATGTTAAGTTTGTTTCTTAGATACTATAAGCAATAGGCCAACTATATTTAATGCCTAAATTGATTGTAAGGTGTACATGTCTGTCTGGCATGGTTCATCTGACCTTGACCTCATTTTCATGGTTCATTGGTCAATGTTAAGTTTTCTTGTTTAAGACTGTTTCTTAGAAACAATAAGCAATAGGTCAACTATGTTTGGTTTATTGTAAGGTGTACATGTATTTCTCATTTGGTTTATCTGACCTTGACCTCATTTTCTTGGATCATGTTAAGTTTATGTGTTACTTGTAGTAAAGCTTTGTATTTAGGACTATCAACATAAAATCAATGGTTAGTAAAGAAGGCGAGACATTTCAGCGTGTACACTCTTGTTACTTGTTATATATTAACTTAGCAATAACTCTAATTATTAAAGAATTTGTATTTCATTTCACATCAATACATTTGATTTTACATTTCATGTTTTCTTCATTAGTTTCATTTCTTATGGTAGTTACTGAACAAAGATGTACATTTTATTTGTGATAGTATTTTTAGTTTAAGTTTTTATACGACCCCAAATTTTTGCGGTCGTATATTGGTATCACGTCGTCAGTGTCGTCCGAAGACATTTGGTTTCCGGACAATAACTTTAGTATAAGTAAATATAAATATATGAAATTTAAACACAAGGTTTGAAACCACAAAAGGAAGGTTGGGATTGATTTTGGGGGTTATTATAAAAAAGAAGATGTGGTATGATTGCCAATGAGACAACTCTCTACAAGAGACCAAATGACACAGAAATTAACAACTATAGGTCACTGTACGGCCTTCAACAATGAACAAAGCCCATACCGCACAGTCAGTTATAAAAGGCCCCGAAATGACAATGTAAAACAATTCAAACGAGAAAACTAACGGCCTAATTTATGTAAAAAAAATGAACGAAAAACAAATATGTAACACATAAACAAACGACAACCACTGAATTACAGGCTCCTGACTTGGGACAGGCACATACATACAGAATGTGGCGGGGTTAAACATGTTAGCGGGATCCCAACCCTCCCCCTAACCTGGGACAGTGGTGTAACAGTACAACATAAGAACAAACTATAAAAATCAGTTGAAAGAGGCTTAACTCATCAGATGGATAAAAATACAAATACTACAAATACAAGTGGATTATGGTCCCTATGGTTTATGAATTAGGGGTCGAAAAGGGGCCCAAATAAGCATTTTTCTAGTTTCCAGACAATAACTTGTGGAACAGTGTATGGAATTGTCTGAAATTGTACCACAAGTTTCCATACCACAAAGGGATGGTTAGGATTGGCTTTGGGGGGTTATGGCTCAATCTGTTAGGAATTAGCGGCAAAAAAGGGGGAAAACAAGGGTTCCCTGGTTAATGGACAATTACTTTAGCTTTGTTTCTTTATGTTGGTACTTTTTGCTATTTGTTTGCTAGTTCTAGTATGATATATTTTTTAGCTGTTTCTAGAAACATCAAATACTGTGATTTAAATACATATAATATTGTAATAGTATTTCTCTAATTCTTCGTCAATTTATCCCTTTCTGCACCCATGGTATAAAAAAAATTTAATCAACGTGTGGTTCGTTTGATCTCAGTTCTTCATTGGTTAAAATCCGATTATGACGTCGAATTTTCTTGCTTTCCTCTGAATTTCCTATTGTGACGGCATGAAAAAAGGCGACCATGCCTGATGACGTCACATAGAAAGAACACATCTTTTTGCAGATCATTCGAAAAGAAGGAATAAATTTGCCTGCGTATTGTTTGAAAATCATTAGAGAATTAGATTCCACCACCAAATCTCGTGTAATACGATATTTATCCACTCTCGACAGTTGAATTTTGAATATTTAAAACGCTCGGCGAGCCTCGCGTTTTAAATTTGAAAATTTAACTGTCTCGAGTGGATAAATATCGTATCACACTCGATGCAGTGGTAGAATCTATATATATCAAAGGGTTCAGTGGTGATAAAATTTTATACTCAGAATTGGTTATTCTTTGTTTGGGTTTTTTTTTGCATTAGAGATACCTCCCTTACAATGGTTTTGTTATAAAGAAAATGTTGTATTCTCTTGAGGTGGTTAGCTGTCAATTTATTTTTAGAAGTTACTCTTAAATGCTGATGAAGGAATTTTATTTTTAGATATTACTATAAAATGTTGCTGATGAAGGTTTTTTAATTTTAGCCATGATTATGATGTCATTTTTTATTTAATACTTTTATGATGTATTTAAATGGGTTTTTATGGTTGCAAAGTCCTAGCTGTCAATTTATTTTTAGAAGTTACTATTAAATGCTGATGAAGGAATTTTATTTTTAGATATTACTATTAAATGTTGCTGATGAAGTATTTTTTAATTTTAGCCATGATTATGATGTCAATACTTTTATGATGTATTTAAATGGGTTTTTATGGTTGCAAAGTCCTAGCTGTCAATTTATTTTTAGAAGTTACTATTAAATGCTGATGAAGGAATTTAATTTTAGATATTACTATAAACAAGCATTTTTTTCTAGTTTCAGGACAATAATTGTGTATAAGTATTTTGATTGCTCTGAAATTGTACCACAAGGTTCAATACCACAAGTAGAAGGTTGGGATTTATTTTGGGGGTAATTGCCCAATCCGTTCCGGAATTAGGGGCCAAAAAGGGTATGAAACAAGCATTTTTCTTGTTTTCAGACAATAACTTGTTAAGTGTATGGATGTCTCTTAATTTGCACTAAATATTTTTTTTTGGAGGGGGGGATTAATTTTTTTTTTCCTCAAGATTTAAGAAACTCAATAACATGTATCCAAAGAAAAATATTGGGGGTCACAATTTATTTTGCTGATTCTTTGTATGTAGTCTGAAAACAGATTTACTAAGTATTGCACAACAGCACAGTGTATTGCACAACAGCAAGAAATCTTCAATTGAATGTAAATTCAAATCATACAACCAATTTCAAGTTCTTTGACTACATTTATTCTGTGTTAGAAACCTATAATGTGTCAAATATTTAATTGCAATCCAAATTCAGACCTGTATCAAGCTTGAATATTGCGTCCATTTTTGCCTCAACTGTTCAGGGTTGGACCTCTGCAGTCATATCAAGCTGTGCTCGGCGAAGCAGTTTATTAATGTATCAATTGTTTTTAGATAAAAGTAAATGTAGGAGAAATGTTTCCTAGATTGAGGTAAACATGCTGTAAATATTAATTCTACATGTTTTAGTCTTTTAGTGGTCTGGTACAATGAAAAAGGTCAGTGTTTTCCATAGAGGGTTTATACATAATAGTAACCCCATGCTTTAATTAAGCCTCTTATTTTTCAAAATGTGATAATACCTATTATAAGCGACATCCTTTCAGTCAACCCCCCCTCCCCCCCCCCCCCCCCCCAAAAAAAAAAAGAAAAATAAATCTATACTGAAACAATTTCTAGGAAAAGCACTGAAAGTTTTAAGAAAAATGTTTTTAATGCCCCACCTAAGGGAATTATGTTTCTTCAGTCCGTGCGTCTGTTTGTCCGTCTGTCCCGCTTCAGGTTAAAGTTTTTGGTCAAGTTAGTTTTTGATGAAGTTGAAGTCCAACCAACTTGAAACTTAATGCACATGTTCCCTATGATATGATCTTTCTAATTATGGTGCCAAATTAGAGTTTTGACCCTAATTTTACGGTCCACTGAACATAGAAAATGTTAGTGCGAGTGGGGCATCTGTGTACTATGGACACATTTTGTTTGGTATTAGACAATCAGTACCGGTAACCATTTATCTTACTGAATTACTTATCCATGTTACAAATGTTTCTTGTGAAAGCAAATATTTGATATGTATAAAGAATAGTGCTGAAGTCTATTTTCTAAAATGCTTTCTTAAATCCTAGACGCTGGATGAGCTTTGTATGACCTGTCTAAAAAGATATTCCTGTAAAATTTAGTATGCTGTAGGTAATGGTAGATTTATTACTAAAACATAAATGTCTTTTATTCACCAGACAGTAAAATACTAAATCTCCCAAATAAAGTTTTTTTTTATTCATTTCTTACAGTCTTATTTACTGAACATCATTAGTGTTGTCCTATAATACACGGTCAGTAAATTTTTAATTGGGTGAAAGGTCAGCTTTAGTCCCCATATAAAATTTACTGATCTTGTATATGCCATATTAGGTTACTGATGGGCTGAGTAATATTAAAACCCTACCAACAATCTGATACTTTGAAAGAAAAAAAGCATCAGTATCTATAAGGTAAGATATAGGATGAATATTGTTACCCAAAAACTTCAAAGTGAAAATTCTTTGGTAAGAATAGCTGCCAGAAGTTTGGTACAGAAGTCAATTCACTTAAATTTCTGTTTGTAGTACTTTATCTGCAGAGAAAAATGTGAATTTTCAAATTTTGGTAAAGAGGATGGTAATTGGGATGATTTTATTAAATCCATAATAGTAGATATTTAATTTGGGAGACTTGAGATTACCAACCGTAGCAGGTTGTATGTTACATGATCAGCTGAATCATAGAACACATTTCACATCATATTGTTATTTTATTATTTTTATATTGCCAATTGTTTTTATTGAATTATAAAAAATGAAATAAAATGTGAACAACAAATATTTCTGTTAGATTACTGATAAAGCCATAGAAATAAATAGCCCTATTTAATGATGAGATCTACCTAATGTCCATTTACATCAAAACTGTCAAACGACACTATAATTAAGTAATACATAAGCTATAACTGCTGACTACCACTTCATTTTAACTCTGGTGGATAGTATATTTATTGGCAATCATACTACATCTCATTTTTATATATGTATAAAAGATGGATTATCCATCATTTCTTCCTTTTGAAATATAAAGCTTGATACAAATAGTTAACACTGCTGTCACAAGATAAGCACATATAGCTATGTCTCACATTCTTGGAATTATTTGCAGGCAAGATAATAAAACAAAGACATTTACAGGTCAATCAATGTCAATGACAGAAATTGCCAATACCATGTGTAAAGCTCCTGGTCTAGACAAGTATTGTGTAAGAATTTAACAGACACCAAAAGATCTGCCATTAACTTGAACACTTGAACTCTGAACATTACAGTAGAAGTTTTTACCTTTAATTTCACAAACCTATTGGTATACAACTAATATTTATTATTTTAGGCTATAAATGAACTCAACACGAAGAAATGTTTAAACATTTATTAAAAAGACAAAAAAAAAAATTCAATAACAAATATTTCAAACAAATATAAATATCACAAATCAAATATCAGATGTGTGTTAATATAAACCGTCATTTAACTCACATACTATTCTAAATAGAGAATATACTATGACTTTTTTCAATATCACACTCTTATCAACCAAATACACCAATATAATCCAAAGAGATTTGGTAAAGAGATAACATTGATAAAGGGTTGATATATCCTGTGATATTGAGAAGCCATATCATAGACACTTTATAATATACCTAATATAAATGTTTTTCCTCTGACATTGACTTTATTCAGATAAGGGGTTTGATTAAGCCTTTTCAACTATGACATATCAATATCATCAAGGATGGTGGATACAGACTGATTGCCATTGATTGTATTACATCTAAATTTTACTTGATTTACTACTAAGTATATAATGAATATAAAAACTATTATAACAAATATGTTATCAACTGGTCACCCTTTCTTTAAATTCACAAATAGACTAGACAATAATTTCATTAAAGGATTTCACAAGTGCATATGTGAAATGTCTGACCTGCTTACTGGCCATGATTAATTTTAAGTTGAAAGATTTAAAGATAAAGGTTTTACTACAAGTATCACATACACTTAACATTAACAGTGATCCATGCCAATGAAATCAAGGTCAGATATACCCTGCCAGACAGAAATGTACAATTAACATACATTCCATGCACCAAATATTGTTACAGTATTTATGATACAGACCAAACCATGAAAACTTAACATTAATGACCAATGAACCATGAAAATGAGTCAAGGTCAGAATATACATGCAAGACAGACATTTACACCTTACAATCATTTCCTACACCAAATATAGTTGACCTATTGCTTATAGTATCTTAGAAGAGGACCAAACTACAGAAACTTAACATTAACCAATGAACCATGAAAGAGAGGTTAAGGACAGGTGATACCTGTGGGATAGACATTTAATTAATGATAAACACAAGAATAATAAATTTGGATAAAGAACTAGTCACTTGTTTACTAAAATACTTTTAAAATCAGTAAGTGTTTACTGCTGTAAGGAAATCTGTTAGTGAGATATTGCTACTGGAATTTGTCAATTTTTCTATCATACTGATTCATGTTAACTTAAAAATGTATGTAAATTCTACTTTTTGTAACTATTGAAAGAGAGTTGACCAGATGACAAAATGTATATTTCATATTTTTTATTTGTAAATATTAATTATCTTTTTTATAAATATGCTATAACCTTCTAACAATCAATGTCAACAGAGATAAACATAATTCTAATTTTTTAAATACCAAACTTCACATCTATATAGATGTGAGTTTTTTTTCATGGGTTTTTGTTGTTGCTGTCTTTGGGTAAAAATTACCCAACATTTATGAATCATGAATACATGTAACTGTGTGAATGAAGTTATACACATTTTAAAATGATGAAGTGTAACAAAAAGACTTCTATGTCAACTTAACTTTACAAAAGGCAATCTACTGTATAATTTAAAAGCAATATGGAAAAAAATCACAACTTAAAGGCTACAAAGACTAACGCTATGTTTCTTGCATCATTAGTGAATTCGTTGGGATAAAATTTCATTGTATTAATGCTAGGAGGTGTGTATAATTTGTTCCTATATTCTTATTCATAAAATAAGAAAAATTGTTTGCTTTACTATACTTTTTATATTTTAAGTCCATACTGACATTTAAGTTCTAGAATATGAAATCATTATATACTATGACTGTTATTATTTTTCCACTTACATGTACTAAGCACCCAATGAAAGCACTGTGGAATTCAATCAATGAGTAGGTGTATGAGAAATGTTGAAATTACTAATTCTGGCATGTACTCAATTTACAAAATGCTTTTAACTGGTACAATGCACACCTCTCATGGGATGATCAGTGAGCAACAAAAGCTATGAAAAAGTAATCACAAGCAAATTGATTTCTTACAGCAACATACTTATCATCAGTAAGTTAATAAAAAAAATATATACAAAATGCCTTTAAAAGTAATATTCATGAGGAAGTTGCCATTATTGTGTCACTCCATTTTCTCATACCATCAAGGCTTTTACACATAATTTCATTTAACTAACAGCTAAATACCATCCACAAAATAAACACAAGTATACTATTAAAGTATTAATCTATGTGAGTATAATTTTTTATGGTTTGTTCAGGTCAGTTATAAATTGGTGGTTTTACGACAAAATAGAATATAAACTTGTCCTTAGGTAACAATTTTGTGGTTAGAGGGAACAATAAAATTCATGAAAATTGGTACCCATAAACAATTATATTTCACAGGATTTATGAAGAATTGTAAAAAAAACTATTTTCTGAGTGATTTATTGTTCCTGACTTTCTTTGGTGGACATCACATTACTGTCGCTTGATACATTTCTGGAGAAAAATGTGAAATATTCCTCTCAATAAACAAATACCCTGTAATAAATATAATTATAAAAATGCATGCCATATTTATTTTTATGTTTGTTAAATCTGTGGGACTAGAAATACATTAGGGTTTGGATGGGGTGCTTCAATTTTGTATTCTTTAATTCTTTTATCCATAATGAAATTTTTCTCTATTCTTTATAAAATGTTTCCCATTATTCTCTAGTCTTCATATTTTAGCACCCTATTATTCTCTATTCTTTACTTTCTTGGCCTACTTTTCTCTATTCTATATTTTTTTGGGCTAATTTTTCTGTAATATTAGCCCATTATTCTCTATTCGGTAAACCCCATCAAGACCCTCATACATGTGAAATGACATAAAAGTGTGGTTACATATCTACAAACATCCAATGCCAATTATATCAAAGTTAACCATTCATACATTTGAATTACAATAGCTAAAATATTGTAACCTTTCATATATTAATTACAAAACACACTATTTCCATCAAATAAACTAAGTACAAATAAACAGCCATTTCAATAACATCAAAATGTTCAAAATCATGTGACTTTCTTGCAGTCTTTTAAAAAAAGAAGCGAGATTAATTATAACGATTTCAGTAAAATCTGTGTATGACATCAGATATCTAAATGCGAGTTCTTATTTTTGCAATACTCATTCAGTCACATTATTCGCATTAATAAAAATAATTTCTGAATTTAATTTGGTCTTCAAACTTTTTATTTAAGTGTCACTGATGAGTCTTAAGTAAAAGAAACATGTGTCTGGTTCGCAAAAGTACAAGCCTGGTATCTTTGGTGAGTTTTTATACATATATTTAAGTTTAAATGAGGGATTGGATAAAGCCTATATAAATCCTTTCCATATAAAATGGTTTGAATAATATCATTTATTATTTTATATACATTTGTATTTCTGGTTATCAATAGACCTTACATTATTGCAATCTCTCTTCCTAAATTTGAAATTTTGTTATGCATATAAAAATAAGATGATGTGGTATGAATGCCAATGAGACAACTATCCACAAGAGACCAAATGCTGTAGATGTAAGCAACTATGTGTCACAGTACAGCCTTCAACAATGAGCAAAACCCAAACCATATAGCAAGATATAAATGCCTTGACATGACAAAATATAAAATCCAAACAAATAAAAACATCTGCCTGATTTATATACACAACAATAAATTAAAAATTAATGGGGAATGTGTCCATGGGACACTGATAATGCCCCGCTTGCATATAACGTTATAAAGGGACATAACTCAAGAATGGTAAAAGTGACCTTACCCAAATTCGTACTTGATCTGAGTTTTGTAGTAATAATGATTGTGTATAAGTTTTATAACGTTTGGTTGAGGCATACTTAAGTTGAAAAAGGGAGACAAAAAATTCAGCAATTTTTCCATTTGTAAAGGGGTATAACTCTAGAAAGGTAAAAGTGACACCACCCAAATTCAAACTTGATCAGTGTTTTGTGGTAATAAGCATTGCGTATAAGTTTCATAACATTTGGTTGAGGCAAACTAAAGTTAGAAAAAACGGAAACCAATTTCGGGACATATGGATGTACCGACGGACGTACTGACGGACAAAGGTAAAACTTAATGTCCGCTCTGCTATGGCGGGAGCATAAAAATATGATAAACAGCAACCAAGGACAACCACTGAATTACAGGCTCCTGACTTGGAACAGGCACATATAGAATGTGGCTGGTTTAAACATGCAAGCGAGCACTCGACCACCCCTCTCCCCTCCTTTAACCTTGGATAATGATGTACAGGTATATGGATTATAACTATTTATGACAGTTTAACATCTGACTTTCCATTTATATCGACATAAGCTCATTATGATAAATCATGTTAAAGATTTTATTAATGTTTCCAGAGGAACCACAAAAATCTAAACTTTAAGAAAAAAACTGACATACACAATCATACAAGATCAAGCACATCCAGATTTGATTCCAAGATAAGCCTTGAAATTTCATTCACATTATACCCCACTTTTGCTGAAACTAAAATCTGAATATGCTAATCTGGCCCTCTTCCAAAATTTCTATCTTATCTCTTAGGATTTTTTAGGAAGAATGTAATTATTACCAACATACAAAGTTTTATATGCTATATGAGAACATATAGATTTTTCTCAACCAGAACTATGAAACTATGAACTAGTTAAAATTCTATCAGTATTAAAATTAGAATTATAAAAAGTCTATTAAAATTATTATACATGTAGTTCATATACAATATATAATTAAATATTAGACCTTGAAACACAGAGGACCTTAAAGTTATAAGCTTCTAAAACACTTTGGCACTGCTCCATTAAACCTAATTACTATATTACTTCCCTTATGAATTATGGATATAAAACATGTGATTTACTTTATAATAAAAGCATGGTTCACAAAAAATGATGGATATCAAAATATTCAGCAGGATTTACGGATATAATTTATCATTAATCAGATATCTAAAATATCATTTGAACACAAAATAATTTGAACACTTTACTTTCTGTAATTCTACTGATTGTATATGACACTTTTACAGTATTCCTTTAACTTTCAAGGATACTGGTACGCATTTCCATATCTGATTCCCGATTCATTCTGTCCTTCCTCAGTCATGAAGTAGGACATAGATGGCACTCTAGAAAGATCAGCTTTTGGACACAACTTTAACCTTTTTACATACAAAGTGATTGCAGTTATTACAATTATAAAACACAATATAATTAGATATTCATTATGGAGTATAGTTCTCCGTAATGTCCATGTATGTTTCTTCTGTTGCTGAGATGTTTTCTCCATATCCCTGAAAAACAAATGCATTGTCAATATAGATTTAACCCCTGAACACTACACGACCTGATATTTCCTCAAATATGTATGTCAAATTTCCTAATTTCAATTAATGAGCCTCTTCACAATCAAAATATCTTAAAAATTATGTAACAAGAATTGAATATTTCTACAGATTGTTTGGAATCTGATTACATTAATCTTTGAACTTTCAAAATGTACATGCATTTTGTGACTGATACATATAGTTGACCATTGATCTTTGAATCTTTTCACTCTATGGTTTTGTAGTTTAAGTTTCCTGATATGGGTTTGCAGTCATTGTTAATGGTTCAGGAATGTCCTGTTAATTACTTTCTTGTCTTTGAGTTGGTTGTCAACTCCTGGATAGTCTCACCTTCTATCACTCTTTAACAAGAGTTAGTTTTAACAAACAACATATTGTTTACTTGTTCTGTGTTCTCCGTTGTAATTATATTCTGACATCAATTCCATTGTTGTTACCAGATTTGTTCATTGTGATAGCATTGAAAATAATTTAAAACTCTTAGCATTTCCCAGATACGGATATCATTTTTTGTTAAACAAATTCTGCTAATGTATCAAGTAGAATTCTTTGATCCGTTCAGAAAAAGGCTCAGTAAAGCTCACCTGTTAAAAATCTAAATTATCTACCATGAATGGAAAAATACTGACACTAACACACAAGGATTATTATTTAAAAGACCAATTTTTCCATCAATTCTTTTGTTTGCTTCATGCCCTATTTTTTTCATTTCAAACATATCAAGACAAAAGACAGTTCAAAAGAAGGAAATATATTCAAAATATACCTGAGAGGTAGATAACGAGTTCTGTGCAGAAGAGCACCTAGTGTCCATTGCACTTCTTTGTTTTGTATATACTGTACAGATCGTAAACTGTGGTAACTTTTAGGAAACTTCAATCCTTTATGTAATACTGTAGTAATCCATGATGCTTTAAAACATTGTTGTCTGTATAAAATCAAATATAACAAAAAATACAAATGTTATTCAAAGCTCAATATGCATTTCCTTCTATCATTCTGTATTGATGATCATTTACATTTTTTCCAGTTAACATACATAGACACTTATCATGGTCCAAGGACACAGTTATCGTCCTTTGGTTCTCGTTGTCTACAAATATAGTCCCTAGTGTGAACAGTGTATAACTTGCATTTTTTTTTGATACACTTTCCCAATTTATTTCTTGATATTTTATGCATGAAATATTAAGTAAGGGGATGAAATTACATGTTAAAAAAATTTGGGTGCTGAATCTTTATGTTAAGTAGTGATTTGGTCCAGTTAAAAAAGGTCAAAAATTAGAATGTCTGAAGCTGTCAAACTGAATTTTAGGCCCCCTTAACACAGAATTGTCAATATTTTGAGTAAGAGCTGGTAGAAGTTTCTATAATTTTGATATTATTTGTATCAATAGTAGTACACTACACTGTAAAAATCTTTTTAAGATAGAGCAGGTGCGATTTTTTTAATTTGAATTTATTGTCTAAAAGAAATGCACTACGAAATAACTGTGTTCTCGGGCCTCATGCTTTAAAAGCAAACTAAATAACTGAAAAATTAGATTTGTCTTTGTTATTTCAGGAATTTAATAATAAAAATGCTTAAAGCAATAGAATGGCATTTGTGCATATATTTTTTTTTATTTCAGATTAGAAAAATAGAATAAATAGAAGAGGATCAGAGGAGAATTTTCAAAGACACATCAAAATTGTTTTAACTGATACCAATAACATTTCATTTGATGCATAATCCACTGCTCAATATCTAAAAAATAGTTTTTTCTTGTCATTTTAAGATATTTTTAAAAAACAGCATAGATCTGTTTCAAACAATGTAAAATTTCCACAGAATTATTGTCACATTAAATTCTAGTACTATTACTAAATGATGACTGAGGTGGACTGGAATTCCAACTGAGAATGTATGAGAGCAGTAAAAAATGAACTTCAGAATTTCTGCCTAAATGTGAAAATCCTATTTTTCTGCAATTTCCTTTCTCTCCAAGACATTTATAAAACTGATAATTTTTGGCTTAACAGATATACTGCTGATTTCTGTTACATCTATATATTTTGTTACTGTCACGTTTTTTTAATCGTTACAGAATATGCTTTTCGTTTTTTTTCTTCAATTTGAAATATCTTTTGGCTCTAATATTTAAAATTTCGGGAACATGCAGATTAGCTATCCAAATCCATATTGCATCTGCAAGTAAATTGAACAATACATTTTGTAAACTTCTTTAAAAGACAGAAATGTTAACTAACTGTTTCTATCATCATTTTACCTGAATCTTTTCTCATCAGCTTGAGGAAACAGTTTTTGCTCGTACCAAGACTGTAATGTCATCCAATTAGTACTGCAAAACCTCTGTTTAAAAAAAGAGATGGCAAGTCAATATAGATTACTAATAAGATTCAACAAATATTTGTTCTGTTTATACAGTATTCAAATGTTATTTTTACATTCAACTGTTTGGTAAAACTTTGAGGTCTACCATTCAATCAGAGTATGAATTCTCTTATTTGCAAATGAAATAAAGGTTACTACTGAGCCAATTTGTGTGTCATTTTTTTTTAAAGGTTAGAGTGTAAGCTGGGCTAATGCATTCACAAACAATTATTCTTTATTAAAATATTGGGATCTTGCAATTTTCTATGCCCTTTGTTTCCAAATAAATAATCATATCTTTTTGTATAGTATTAATCTTTTAATATTCATAAAACAAGAAATGAGCTGTCAAGCTGCCAAATCTGGGTTTCATATTTTCAAACTTGACCTCCATTTTGTCATCAGCAACAACATATTTAAATTTGAAAAGCGTTGAACAAAGGGTTCATAGCCTCATAAGTTATTGCACAGAAACTGTTGGCAGCTGCAATCCATATTTCACTATTTTAATAACCAGATTTTTTTCCCTCTCGAAAAAGTATGTTTAAATCAGAAAGGAACATATTTTTTCTATATATACCACATACCTTTGCCTCTTCCTCAAACCTCTTGCTACCATAGAGACCACCAATCCTGAACACATCCTGCATGGTATACCAGAACTCTGAAAACCCATAGAATTCACTGTTTCTGAAAATAATCTCTGGTTGATGTACACCATTCATTGAACATGGATCCTGTTCACATAACCTTGACCTGTTAAGGAGAGGTGAGAGGGAATGCTGACAAGCTGAGTAGTTACCTGCCCCTTCTAATACATAGCCTTTCTTTATTTCATATGACAGATCTTCTGGCAGACATGGATCTTTTATCATAACTTTTCTGTGATGGTGGAATGGATGAATAGCTTCACTAAAATACAAAGAGTCTAATAAAATAGAGACTAAATTATAAAGAAACTGAAAATAAATCAGCCATTGACACCTTCATCTTTATGTATTTCTTATAAAATGTTTAAAATATGATTGTATGATAGTTATTTTATTGGACAAAGCACATGTTTCTGGAATAGCTTCCATCAGATACACATCACTGAAAATTTAGCAACCTCAGGGACTTATTTTACGGACATAAGTACTGACCTAGTGGTAGCAATTGTTATGTAATAATATGATACTGATTTCAGTGTGCATCACCCATGTTTCTGTCATAACTCTCATTAAGACTTAAAATTTGGAAAGTATCAACAGACTTAATTAGTAAATACTTCTGCACACAAATATATGTTTTGCAATAACAATTATATTATCTACTTTTATTATTTACAACTTGTATCCTTGTTAAATACTTGTGTCAAGATTACATGAAGACATATTAATGAAAATTAAAAAAAAAGATTGACAAAAAAAAGGATCACCTTTTATTCATCTTCACTAATTCTTCATGTTCTTTCTGTATGCTAAGACTAGCTTTGTTGACCAACATCTCTCCATATCTCTCTTCAGCTTCATTAGCTCCAAATCCCAGGAACGTTGTTACATACACTTTATAGGTATGGTCAAGGTCATTATTCTGACATCCAAGGTTAAACTCAGCTATTCTGTGCTTTGGTATAGATGAATCCTGGTGCAAATAAAGAATAAATCAAATATAATTGCCAACATCAGTGAAGTTTTTATTATTTTATTTCTATAATGGAAACAGATAAAAGGCTTTTAAATTAGGAAATATTTGATGCAATCTTTTTGAAATACAGATCCTGTGTTAATGCTTTACTTATAGGGATCTGACAATTCTCTGTTCTACTTTCTGATTTAATAATTATTAACCAATGAAATTTTTGCCTACAAATTTGTTAATGCATTTATTGCTATTACAAAACCAGGGTCAGAAGGCATTTCTATTAAAATTTCATGGGTGGTGAATATTTCAAACAGATATTCTGAACAATTTTAGGGAAAAATCAATTAAAATGTTTAATATGCATGGTAGCGTGGGGTTAAATCAAAAGTGCTTTCTGACCTCCAAAACATTTATTTCTAGAACAGACCACAAATGATTTGTACAGTATTTCTAAAATGTTTGTTTTCCCTCTTTTAACCAAATATGTCCTTGACAGAATGAAAATCCCTGTTTAATATTTTGTTTTCACCACCATCTCATTATAGAGGTTGTTTCTTTAGGAGTATTTAATTTGAAGTTATTAACCGGTGGTCACCAGTAGATTTTCTCCCACATCAAGATAATTATGAACTTATAGAAATATTATCCAATATTAGACCCTATTGCTAGATGGAAGCATTTGGAAAGTAATGTAAATAAATAAAAATAACAGTTTTTGTAAGAGTTCTTTTACTGCTATGCCTATTATGACTTGGATGGAGAGTTGTCTCATTGGCACTCATACCACATTTTCTTATATCTATTTACTGCAGGGAATGTTGCTCGTGCTGTGTGGATGCTGTAGAATGTGTCCCCGTGCTTGTGGTGTATGCCCCTATATTTTTCAATTATGGGTTGTTTGCCTGTGAGAGAGCTTTCACATGTTTATTGTATCTTAATTGTTATTACATATTATGGTGTTTGGATATATAAATACTCATCCACGCCTACAATTTTTTTTATTGCCCCCTGCTATGGTTTTACTAAGATTTCTTACAATCTCTGTTTTTGCCCTGTGTTTGTTATATGTCTGTTTTGTATTACTTAAGTCTTTACGTCAGGCCTTTTTTAACAGTTTTTGTAAGAGTTCTTTTACTGCTTTGCCTATTATGACTTGGATGGAGAGTTGTCTCATTGGTACTCATACCACATCTTCTTGTATCTATTGGATAACAGAACAATATCAAAAGTAGTAAAATTGATGTTGTTTTTCTAAAAAAAATTGCAGCTACTGAGAAGTTGTATTAGATCAGTAATATAAAAGTCTGATGTACCCTATCCTGAATAATTATTGAAATTTGAAATCCAAATGTTTTCTGTATCACTTTACCTTTCCTGTGACTTCAAAAGCAATCTGGAAAGATCCACCTCCCATATCTAACATACCAACTGTTCTCCGTCGCATGTGTGGACGCTCAGATGAACCCTCATTCTTCAGTGACTCCACCCAAACTAATGGATGTTCTGTAAATCAAATTGTATAAGAGCTCAATTTCTTCTTAACACCATATTAATATGAAACTTTAGATATAGTGTTAGGAATATTAGCATCAAGTTAAACCATCTGAAGATCAATATCACAAAGCTGTGTATGTACACCAACTTATTTAAATCACTTTACATCTGCTTTAATTTTCTTATATAAATATATATCAACAAATAAAATGCTAGATTCCAATTATCAATTTTCATGTTTTTAGTGAAAACAAATAATGTCAGCTTTAAGGAAGATGACTTTAAAAAAGGTACAAACTGTTGCTGAATATTTTGAGGAGTTGAGTTATAAATATAATTCCTACAATTAATCAAAGCGCGAAAGCGCTGTAAAGGCAGTTAATTACAGGTTGTGTGTATTTTTTGTCCAGTTATATCATTATCTTGCATAGTACAGTGTACTTATCAGAGGTGGCTTTCAGTATTTAAGATTTAGAGTTCTCTAATGATATTGAACAAGTTATATGAATGTCATATTCTGAGCACTATATGAAGATTGTTCTCACTTGTTTATGAACTAGTGCATTATGTCCAGTTTGTACCTTTTTTATCTATGTTTATAGTCAAATTAGTTATCAGGATTATAATTTAATACGCCAGACGCGCATTTCGTCTACATAAGACTCATCAGTGACGCTCAGATCAAAATAGTTATAAAGCTAAACAAGTACAAAGTTGAAGAGCATTGAGGACCCAAAATTCCAATAAGTTGTGCCAAATACGGCTAAGGTAATCTATTCCTTGGATAAGAAAATCCTTAGTTTTTCGAAAAATTCAAAGTTTTGTAACAGGAAATTTATAAAAATGACCATATAATTGATATTCAAATACTGTTTAAAATAGTTAGGCATTTTCTTTTTAGTAATAAGTAAATGTTATCAACTGTATTTTATTCAACTCTGCAAATGTGGTTTGTTACTGTTAAGTATGGATGATAGTTGTTTCATTGGCAATCATAACACATCTCCTTATTTATATAATGATCTATATTCAACGACCTCAGGTACAAAAAAATGTATGTAACTTAACTATGATGGGAAACCTTTGACTTCTTTCTTTTATATAAACTTTTGATTTGGTACCATAGAACTATGTAGAATAAATGTACATTGCAACATGTCAACTCTTTCAATGACAATACTTTTTTAAGAAACTATAACTCCAAGCAAAATTATATTTCCAAGTTTAAAGTAATTTATGAATGAATAAAGGAGTTCTTAATTAAGAAATAAACTGATTCGCCGAGCGCAGCTGGATACACCCGCAGAGGTCCAACCCTGAACAGTTGGGGCAAAAATGGACACAATATTCAAGCTTGATACAGGTCTGAATTTGGATTGTAATTAAATATTTGACATATTATAGTTTCTGAATAAATGTAGTCAAAGAACTTGAAATCGGTTATATGAATTGAATTTATATTCAATTAAAGATTTCTTGCTGTTGTGCAATACACTGTGCTGTTGCGCAATACTTAATAAATCTGTTGCCAGACTATAAACAAATAAAGTTCAATTTCTTCTCGATGTCATATTTGAAATTTATGAAAATCTATAGGGAGATTACATCAATAGCTATAAATAATTCACCAAAGTTTCATGCGAACTGCTTAAAGCTTTTTTGAGTTGTTGTCCAACAAGAGTGCACACGCTGAAATGTCTCGCCTTCTTTACTAATCACTGATATTATGTTGATAGTCCTTAATATAAAGCTTTATTACAACTGTCACATAAACTTAACATTAACCAAGAAAACTAAACATTGACCAATGAACCATGAAAATGAGGTCAAGGTCAGATGAACCATGCCAGGCAGGCATGTACAGCTAACAATTCTTCCATACAACAAATATAGTTGACCTATTGCTTATAGTTTAAGAAAAACAGACCAAAACACAAAAACTTAACACTGAGCAATGAACTGTGAAAATGAGGTCAAGGTCAAATAAAACCTGCGCAACTGACATATAGATCATAAAATATTACCATACACCAAATATAGTAGACCTATTGCATATAGTATTAGAAAAAAAGACCAAAACTCAAAATCTTAACTTTGACCACTGAACCATGAAAATGAGGTCAAGGTCAAATGAGACCTGCCAGCTAGACATGTACACCTTACAATCATTCCATACACCAAATATAGTAGACCTATTGCATACAGTATAAGAAAAACAGACCAAAACACAAAAACTTAACTATAACCACTGAACCATGAAAATGAGGTCAAGGTCAGATGACACCTGCCAGTTGGACATGTACGCCTTACAGTCCTTCCATACACCGAATATACTTGACCTATTGCTTATAGTATCTGAGATATGGACTTGACCACCAAAACTTAACCTTGTTCACTGATCCATGAAATGAGGTCGAGGTCAAGTGAAAACTGTCTAACGGGCATGAGGACCTTGCAAGGTACGCACATACCAAATATACTTATCCTACTACTTATAATAAGAGAGAATTTAACATTACAAAAAATGTTAACTTTTTTTTCAAGTAGTCACTGAACCATGAAAATGAGGTCAAGGACATTGGACATGTGGCTGACGGAAACTTCGTAACATGAAGTATCCATATACAAAGTATGAAGCATCCAGGTCTTCCACCTTCTAAAATATAAAGCTTTTAAGAAGTTAGCTAACGCCGTCGCCACATCCCTATCCCTATGTCGAGCTTTCTGCGACAAAAGTCGCAGGCTCGAAAAAAACTGGAAAATCACCCCTTTTTTAATGCATAAAACCCCATAACTCAGAAATGTAAAATCTAAAATTTATAAAATTCTAAAGGGAGCTTACGGATTGATAATTTAGTCTTAGATGCAAGATTTTTTTATCAGTTGTTAGTGGCTTTGAACTAGCTGTCAGTAACTTTGAGTACTCTCAGATCTGTACTTAGTGTCTTTTTGTTGTTTGGATGTACAACTACCCGACCACGTCCACTTGTATTTATCCATCTGATGAGTTAAGCCTCTTTCAACTGATTTTTATAGTTCTTTCTTATATTGTACTGTTACACCACTGTCCCAGGTTAGGGGGAGGTTTGGGATCCCGCTAACATGTTTAACCCTGACACATTCTGTATGTACATGTATGTGCCTGTCCCAAGTCAGGAGCCTGTAATTCAGTGGTTGTTGTTTGTTTATGTGTTGCATATTTGTTATATTCGTTCATTTTTTGTACATAAATTAGGCCGTTAGTTTTCTTGTTTAAATTGTTTTACATTGTCATTTCGGGGCCTTTTATAGAGCTCTGATATTGCGGTATGGGCTTTGTTGAAGGCCGTACTGTGAACTATAGCTGTTAATTTCTGTGTAATTTGGTCTCTTGTGGAGAGTTGTCTCATTGTCAATCATACCACATCTTCTTTTTTATATTTACATCAACAGATATAAACAATTCACCAAAGTCAAGGTGAGACAACAAAACTTAGTGGTAAAATCTCTGAAATGTTTTACACGGTACAAGTTTTTCTCATTGTTGGAGATTGTACGGTGACAGTAACACCTGTAACTGCTTAAACCCATTTCTTATGCACTTTAGTTCGATAAACTCACTGAATATCATACCACATCTCCTTATTTTATATGCATTACAATTTACATGTGCATGTAATTATAAATATATATATATCAGAACAAAATTCATTGCGTTACTTTTATTTATGCATCCTTTGGCACAATACAAGTTCTAAAATTACACAACATAGTACAACTAAATGTTATTTCAGATGAAAGTTTTGTTTCAGTTCCATTCATAGGATTTATTAGAATTTTGTATGTTTTGCCAAGTCCAATAATTCGCTCTATGTGCACATGTTAATTGGAGACTTTTCTATCCCGTATAAGAGTTTTGGAACTAATTCGGTTTCTTTTTTTGAAAAAAGTTAGCAAAAAATTTGGAACATTTAAACCTTTGTCTGCCATCACACTGTCACCTGGATCACATAATTGAACTATTCTACATCTTTCAACTATTTCATAGTCACTGGTAGAACCAACATATGCATTAGAGACATAGTTGACTAAACCACCAGGTGTCGAACATACAAGTACTTTCAGTGTTTCTGTTTTTATATGATGAAAAGGTTGCCTGAGCTCTAGGAGCTTTAGGATTTATCATGGGATATTCTGTGCTGTCAATAATAATCCAAGTCGTAGGAAACTTTAATTTGAAGTTGGATTGTGAAAAATACCTGACTAAACCACTAGATGGCCAAGTGTTAGCCTCACACCACTGTTTAGACATAAAAACAATCCATGTATACACAATATTCTTTACACTAGATTCAATCTAGAATCTAGAAAGTTCAAAGTTGGTTGTATAATGCCTCAATTTCATCAAAGTCATAAAAAAACTGATTTTCAACTGACACCCTATCAATTTGAAAATATATGTATCTCAAACAATGTGCTGCTGGACCAAGTGTGGTCAAAACAAATAAAAATTTAGTATACAACTCTAAACCGGTATAAAAATGCATGGCTGTGTCACGTGTCTTCATTTCAAAATTCTCTGCTGAAAACATAGGCATTGATGGTGTTTGCATAATTCCATCTGTGAAGCTCAACATTAGCTCGGCAGTTGGTGGTGGACAGTCATAAATCCTTTCTGCAGTATGAATGACTTCTTCAGGAAAACCAACTTTACAATCAAAACTTTCCTCTAGATTTCTACTACAATATTCATCAAGTTTAGTTCTTTTGTTTTCACAGGAAACTGCCCTGATTTTTCTTTTTGCGGACGATTCAGTCTCTTGCTTGGTCCAGGAAAATAGGCTGGGAATGGCAGTAGACTTAAGTCTCTGAATGGTGGGTTTGCGCCCTGAAAAAGGTTATAAAACATTAGTTTTTTGATAATTAAATGAACTTCCATTAGCAATGTATACTTTGTATTACCTGGCGAAATATTAACTAGATTTATTCATTACAATCTGGATAAAACTATGTTTGCCTGATTCAATGTATTGTTATGTAAATCCAAAGGACAAACAATGAGAGACTTATGCAACAAACGTACATTGTTTGTACCTAAATAACTATAATATAGATGAGAGCATGTCATTGTTTTGTTCCTGTTAACATTGTCATTGATATTATTCAAGAAAGTCTATGAGGCATAGCTTATGCATGAATTATAGTTATCTCGTACCATTGTAAACTCGTACCAATGTCAACTCGTACCACTAAACAAAAACTCGTACCAATGCAAACTCGTACCACTGCTAACTCGTACCACGGTAAATTCATACCATTGTAAACTCGTACCAACTTATTTAAATGCATTAAAATGGTGTTTAATGATGAATATATACTTTAATTTCACTCAATACCTTTTAAGTCTGTAAAATGTATATAATTTGAAATTACAATAACCAATTTGTAGCTAATTTTCCTTTTCTAATTGGATAGAGAAAACCGTGGCAGATTGGCTTTGTTGTCTCCCTTGAATAGACTCTTTTTTAAACTTTTACTGACAACTATTTGATTTAATTTTTAATCATTCCAAATCAGTAACATTGAATAGATTTGGGTATTTTTCTATTGTTTCTAAAAGGAATTTTATTTAATGAAAGAATTTATTGATTGTGTTTTAAAGGTTTAAAATTGTTTATGACCAACAGTTAGAAAGTATGAAATTTATTTTTATACAATATTCAGCACATTTCAGCAGAATATGACCATGCTTATATGATTATACAAGTTGATTAGTTAAAGATAAAAAAAAACAAGTTGATTAGTTAATAATCAACCAATAATCACACAATCAAAGGAATTTAATATATTTATTAGCATGGTAATTAAGAAATTACATTCGTATTTTTGTCTAAGTTTTCATTAAAATCTGGTATAAATTTCAAAGATATTTTAATTTTTTGTATAAAGCTTTAAAAAAAAATAATCATAAAACATTCGTATTTTTGTCTAAGTTTTCATTAAAATCTAGTATAAAATTCAAGTAATTCAACTTTTTTTATTTAGTTTACCAAAAAAAAAATCATAAAACATTCGTATTTTTGAATATATTTTTAATGGTACGAGTTTGCAGTGGTACGAGTTCTGATTGGTACGACTTCCCAGTGGTATGAGTTTACGTTGGTACGAGTTAACTTTTTTGGTACGAGTTTACGTGGTACGAGTTTACAATGGTACGAGTTAACTTGCTTCCTTATGCATTCCTGTCATTACTACATTAGCATAATTACTGCTAAAATAATTCTCAGTATGATATACCTCTTGTAAGAAATCATTATAATTGTAGCAATCACCAAAAAATCTCAAACAGATCACATTGAATCGTAATCCAAAAAATTATGACGTCTTGAATTAACCACCCCCTTTTATTCTAAAACGATAATTGCGGTTGTAAACAGACTGGTTTATTCGCATGGCGATTACATATATAACTATATATTTCAAAAAGAAAATAGAGTTTTACCATGAATAGTTTCCTGCACGTAGTCTTTTTCAGTAAAATGTGCCTTGCAAACAACAGCTGATTGAGATGGACTCCACGATTTCATCGTGTTCTCGTCCAATCTGCGTATGGGCCATGGCGTTGTTCCAACTTTTCCTTCTTTTTAAGTCATTTGGAAATGCATGTCCTCCTCTTAAATGACATCCAGGTACACAACAACAAGTACTTGGCATCGTTAATTAAAAATGTAACTGAAATAGTTGCACAGTGCAGAAACCGGAAGTTGAGGAACAGGATCGGCTACCACGGCGCCACCTATTCAGGAACGATAATTTGCTACTTTATATAACTGCGAAATAACAATAACGTTAGACGGGTTCACGTGCATAAACAGAAATGCGCTTTAAATTGTACAATATAATTCATGTTCAGTCGACCTTTAATTATTATATCAACGACTGAAATGATTTATAAACATATAGATTGCAGATAACACTCGAAATTAACCCGAGCTCTTTCCACACGGAATTCAAATAATTCTAGTTTGTCAATCGGTTGACTGCTTATAATGCAAAATACAAATATATCAAAAGTTTTTAAAACTAACAAAACACAATGATCGTTTCTCTATTTCCAAATGTAAATGAAATGAAACAAAAAACATTTTATATCACAATAAGAAGAGGAGAGAATTCAACATTTCCGGATCTACTTGGAGCCTAACGACCCCCCACGTAGATAAGTTGGATATCGCGGAAGGAAGGATTAACCCGGCAACTAGAAAGGCATTAAAGCACTGCCTTTAAAAACAGTCACAAACTTAATGATTACTTTCATCCAAAATCACTTTTTGAGGTACGGTATAAGTGGCACTAAATAGTTATCATAAAGTACAATGGCATTATAAAACAATAGTTCCTTTTATATACATGTACTATCAATATACATTTATGAAGTGTTGACATAATTTGCTTTTTTCTTTATACATACTATCATTTGTTTGAATATAACAGAAGTACTCTCCTTCTCAGATTATCATATATAGAATACAATGAATAGAATAACTATACATTGTCTCATAACACATAATTTTGTTTGTACAAGACTTAAACAGGTAGAATGTAAGGCCTAGCCGAAACATATCTATCCTTTTTTTTGTGCATTGCTCATATAAAATTTTATTTTGAGATGAATTTACAGCGGATGAGGTCAGAAATTCTGTGAGCCTGTATCTTTCATGACATCAATGATAAAACTTATCAAAACATATTACCAATGTCACAAACAAGGCTTTATATGGTCAGTGACTGTATAAAACAAAAGTTTATACAGTCAATTTATTTGTATTGCACAAATAAAAGTATAATCATGATAATATTTACAGTAACATTTATCCTTTATCTTAATACCACTATCTTACCTTCTTCTCCGTGTCCAAACTTCTGAAGAACATAATTTACAGCAATCCAGGCATACACCCCCTCCAACTTTCCACTAATTACTTCAAAATTTGAGTCAGAAAATACAAATGGGAAGCTTTTAGGTATATCTTTCTTTAAATCTTCAAATATTTCTTTTTGACTTCTGAAATAACATAAAGAAAAAAACATATCTTCAGGGTGATGAGTGTAAGAAGACAATCTCTTCATTACATGCATCAACAAATACCTGTGAAGTACTTTGAGCTTGCTTTTAGTAATTGTGAACAATATTTAAATAAAAATTACACAAAACAGAATAATATGCTTTTTCATGTAACTGTGTTTTAGTCATCTGTAATACAATGTACATTTATCATTCAATATCATTAAATTAAGAGGTCTTTTATATTGTATGGTTGTATGTACACTGGTCAGGATATTCAAGGCAAGGTCATGTACTCACAAAAGTAGTCTTACCTTGACATGCTTGATGATGCTAATACTGCTGTCCTTAATCAGGAATCAGTGATCAACTTGTCTTTGATAAAAGATTTTGGTTGTCTGTGATGACTTCATTCACAATTTGTTAAGAATAGACCTAAGGCAATTTAGAGCATGCCATATGGTTTGATGTTGAAAGGCTGATGTGTATCATGTGTTCAGCTGGTATTCAGCTATATCCTAATCTGCTAATTTTGTTATAACAACTAGTAGCAAAATACAGCTGGGTCAATATCCCTAATGCGCCTCCAATTGAGGAACACAAAAGTTGTGTGTAAACAAAAAATCTCTGTGTAGTGATATTGGACATGTTTCTATTTTTAACAAGTGATTGAGCTTAACCATTTGTGTTGATTTGGAAAGTAGAGGACCATAGAATAAATGTGTAAAAACTATGGTGTTATTAAATGTATTCAAAGTATTAAATTTTCAAAGAACTTATTGTGTGAAAAAAGGAAGAGCTGCATTACGAAGGGGTTTTCGGGGTATGACTGTATGCTAATTTATGGAAAAATGAATCACACTTTGTACCCCGAAAATTTAACCACATATGTGAAAATGTCTCAGCTTCGAAACGAGCCATCATACATATCCAAGTTTACGATATGGACTGAGCTACAGAAGAAAACGTTACCATTACCGCCTATGGAGAAAAAATTGCGCATATTGCCCCAGCTGCTGATAAACAAATTGTGTTCGAAATGTTCCAATCATTTAATTCAGTCTGTCATTTTTCTGAAAAATGTTTGGATACTATGAGTATGATTTTGGTGGGGTGTAGCAGTGTGTTATTGAGTTTAAATTAGTTGAAGTAATATATCATGTATATTGTGAGGATACTTACTCCTGTGGGATCATTCTCATACCAGCTGTTGCCAGTATAAACAGCTGTGTATCAGCATGGTGGGCAGATGGGATATGAGATGCAGCATACTTTAACAAGGGGTTGATATAATCACTAGCAGCTCCAGGGTTCTTCTCAAAGGTATCCAAACCTGTAAATGAAATTGTTTTTATTACATGCATAATTTTTGGTGTATCATTTAGATAAAATTAGTTCAATTTATGTTTATATATAACACAATGTGCTGCATATTGTATACAAAAGCACAACCCCAATCAGTACAAATAATAATTCAGAGCACTTTGGTTGAATCATTAAAGTTTTTGTGTCTTTTATCTCAAGTTAATATGTCCCTATACATTTATTACTTTGGACTTGACATTTGTTTCACTTCTCAAATCTAACATAGTTCATTAATTTTCACCGGCAAGTTGAATAGTTGATTCCACATAAGTGCATCAATAACAGTTTCATGTATTCTATTGTCATATTTTATGTATAAATGATATATCCTGTGCACATGTTGTCATATTTTATGCATAAATGATAACCTGTGCACATGTTGTCATATTTTATGTATAAATGATAACCTGTGCACATATTGTCATATTTAAGATATTTTGTGTGTAAATGATAAAACCTGTGCACATGTTGTCACATTTTATGTGTAGATGATAAAACCTGTGTACTTGTGTATAATTTAAATGATATAACCTGTGCACATGTTGTCATACTTTGTGTATAAATGAAATAACCTGTGCACTTGCCATATTTTGTGTATAAATGATATAACCTGTGTACATTTTATCATACTTTCTGCATAAATGATATTACATGTGTACATGCTGTCATACTTTGTGTATAAATGATATAACTTGCATACATGTTTTCACATTTTGTGTATAAATGATATTACCTGGACTTATTTTCTTGACAACAGGTTTTCCTGTTGGGTCCATTAACTGCTGGATACTGAGTAGATCACTTGGATTCCCTGAATGCGGTGGCCAAAAATAAATATATACTCGGCTTCCACTACTTCCACAGTCAATCACTATACCAAAATGTACATTTGGTCCAAAGTCAATCTTACTGGGCACAGAGGCCAAAGGTCTACTGATATGTAAGTCCCGTGCATCCTTATCATAGCTAAACACAAATATATCGATGGAAAGAAAAACCAAAATTCCCAATAAAATAAATACTGTTACTAGGACAATCAGTTGCCGTGACGACAAGTTATGAAGCTGTTTATTCATACAGGTACATAGTTGAATCATTGATTTACAGTTAAAATATATTCTGAAATATAAATGAAAAGAAAGTATAAATAAACAGTAATATTATACAGCATAGCATAAAGATGCATAAAGTATAACAAAACCTACACATGTAACTCACAAAACAAAAATTGGTACACATACATGTAAAAGACTTGCTATATTTTTTTATTGTTAAAAGGCTTAGTTCAATTGTTTTTAATATGAAGTACATCAATTTTTTCTGGGTTTAAGATTGCTATGGCAAAACCGATTTTGCAATCGTGTACATTTATATGAATGGTGAGAAAAAGATTAAAAGTGTAACAAAAAATGGCAAGACTTCCAGTTGAACCCCCCTTGCCTGTGTATTTTGCTTATTCCATAAACCAGGAGGGGGGGGGGTCAAATAGAGAATTCTTTCCACAACAACAACTTTGGTCTTACCTTACCATTTAGGCATTATATCAAAATAAAAATAAAACAACCATATATACCTGGAAGTGTTATTCCGAGATGGCGACATTTAAAGAAACTTAATAAACTTTTAAAAACTCAGAGGAATATTATTAATGGTACAAGTAGTATCATATATAAATTTACATCGAAAAGGTTTTTGATTTAACTGTATAGAAGAAAATCAATAAAACATCAAATGTTTTTTCTACATGTAACTTATAAGGAACATGAAATTCTAATTTGTAAACATGTATCAACATGATCAACTGCTGCCATTCATTGTAGTTTACCATGTTAACATTGCATTAAATAATTTCTTGTTATGCTACTTTATTATAATGTTATCCTATCAATCATTTAAGAATTGGGACTTGGGGTTGAGTGAAGAAAAACTTGAAATGAATATATATGAGATAATTTCCAGCTTTCAGTGCCTGCAAGTATTTACATGTCACAGTGATGGGTTTTCACATTTAAGTCCAATTAAGTTTAATCTTTAAACAAGTATACCAAAAGAGGAAATCTCACCCTGAAGACAACTGTTTTACACTAAATCCATTAGATGTTGGATGTGTACTGATTGATATTTCAGTTTTAGATACATTATTTTTTTTTATTAGTTGTTATATATGCTTTGAACTAGCTTTCAGTAACTCTGAGTACTCTCTCCTGTACTTTGTGTCTTTTTTGATGTTAGGGATATATAAATACCCTCCACGTCAGGCCTGTGTTTTGTTAGATGTTTTTCTGCTTTCTATCTTTCTAATGAGTTAAGCCCTTTTCAACTGATTTTTATAGTTTGTTCTTTTGTTGTGCTGTAACACCACTGTCCCAGGTTAGGAGGAGGGTTGAGCGCTCACAAACATTTTTAACACCGCCACATTCTTTATGTGCCTGTCCCAAGTCAGGAGCCTGTAGTTCAGTGGTTGTTGTTGGTTCATGTCTGTCAAATTTGTTTTTCATAATTGTTTTGTTATAAATTAGGCTGTTAGTTTACTCAATTGAGTTGTTTCATATTTTTCGTGTCCAGGCCTTTTATAGTGGACTATATGGTATATATGACATATTTTTCGTGTCCAGGCCTTTTATAGTGGACTATATGGTATGGGTTTTTCTCATTGTTGAAAGCCGTATGGTTGCCTATAATTGCTTACATCCACTTCATTTGAACTTTGTAGGATAGTTATCTCATTGGCAATCATACCACATCTCCTTATTTTTATATAATAGTTGGGAGATTTGTTGCAGAAAAGATTTATTCACTTTATTTTGGGATTTATTCTCCATTTTTTCATCCAACTTTGGCATTTATTTGTTGATTGATCTAAATTCTAATAATTGCCATTCAAACAAAACCAACCAAAACCAAATGACATTTAAAGAAAATATCAGATAACTTGGTTGTCAGTTACATTTTGAACAAGCATTTTAGCTAGGTTTCAAAAGACCTGTACTTAACATACTTAATTTTATTTAGGGCTTCTTTTAGCCATTGACCAATCAGATCCAAGAAGGGCACATGTACAGAAGCTTAGGATTTGAATGCCGTTTAAATGACTCTGTGTCATTTGGTCTCTTGTGGAGAGTTGTCTCATTGGCAATCATACCACATCTTCTTTTTTATATATAAAATGGCTAACAGTTGTTAAATTTAGGAAATGAGAAGGATAACTTATATAAAATAATTAGTAGTATTATTGTCAATGAGACAACTGTCCACCAGAGACCAAATGATGTAGAAGTTAGCAACTACATGTATAGGAGTCTGTATGGCCTTCAACAATGAGCAAATCCAATACCCCACAGCAAGCTACAAAGGGCCATGATATGACAAATGTAAAACAATTCAAATGAGAAAACTAACACCTGATTTATGAAAATAACAATAAACAGAAAACAAATATGCTATACAGCACTAAAGGACAGGGTCCTAAGTTGGAACAGGCACATACAGAATGTGGCAGGGTTAAACATGTTTGGGGCACCCAACCATCTCCCTAACATGGGACAGTGGTGTAACAGCACAACACAACAATAAAATGTGCAAGACAAATATCATATACAGCAACAAAAGACAACTGTTACTACCACAATTATCTTAACTTTTCGAAATTGCAAGTCCCAAAGAAATCAGTCTGGTAAATAATAGTATTCAAAGTGGTTGAAATCACTGGTGGAAAGTTTTGAAGAAATATGTGCATAATTTCAATCATTTTTTTTAGTTTTTAATTGAGGTTTGGTGAGAAAAAACTTGATATAGCGCTTTTAAATATAGTTGCATTTGTCATGTTTGTAGCGGGATTGGTTTTTGAAGTCTATTTTGATAAATTTGCCGGTAAACTTAATTTTGGCAGACATTTATAAATAACTTCATTTTTATAGACCGTGTTCATGTTTGAATGAGAAGCGTACGTTTGTCACTTACCATTTAGTTTAACTTTGTCTTACATATTTTTGGATGCTAAGGGAGCTACCATTTGATTTTTATGGGGGGGGCTAGGATGAAATTTGAAAAAAATAGACAGGACAGGAGTTTTGAGTAAAAAAAAAGGCAGGATAAGATTATTTGCAAAATAAAAAGGCTGGATGACAATTTATGTAAAAAAATTTTCAGGATAAACTAAAAAAAAAAGACAGGACCAAATAGAGTAAAAAATAAAAAGGCAGGACCGAATTGAGGGAAAAATAAAAAGGCAGGACAAAATTTTTCATCCTAGCCCCCCCCCCCCTTCCCCCCCATAAAAATCAAATGGTAGCTCCCTAATTGAATTATTAAGTTGACAGTTTCGATTTTTCACTTTAATGTTCTAAAATGTTTTTATGTCATCCATATTGGCACATATTCAAAATGATGTCCGAAACCGTGATTTTCATTGGTTACTTTCGGGTCAAAGAAATACAATTTGACTAAATAATTTCATTGGTCAACGGTGGTATAAAAGCGGCTGATTCGAAGTGAAATTTGTCTCTTGGCCAATGACTTGAGTAAGGTCTACTTCTCTCTCCTCTCTTTATTATAGAGCTGAGTTTTTGTCAACCTTTAGAACTGTTGATTAAATATTGTCCGTCATACAAGTAGTCTAAATTGAGCCTGGAAAATGATTCAAATTAAAAATGTAGGATTTTATTTTAGAAAACTTCAGCCTGTCGCTTTTGTATTCACTGCAGTGTGTTCTTCTTATTTTACTTGTAATTAAATAACTGTTACGATGTAAATCTACAAATAGATAAGTCATATTACACCATGTGTTCGTAGTGCACTTAACTTTTCCGTTGAGACAGTGTTTCGATATTTCCACACTAATATTTAGACAGCTACATTCCCTATTTGTTTAAATTCAATATGAAGAAATCAATAAGTTTATTTTTACATATTTTGTTCTGTTTGGTGCTCTATTCTTGTTTACAAAATACTGAAAACTTTATTATAGTTTTTGTTTTGACTTTTTGATGTATATTATTGATTTTGGATCACGTTTACACTTGTTGATTGTTATATGTTGATTTACGTTATTAGTATATAAAGTATCTGAACTTAAATAAATCTTGAGTCTTCTCTGCCATAACAGTCTCCCAGAGGATCAAACTTAAACCTGAATTGCTAGTACAAAACATTGTGGTATACATAATAACATTGGTCTTCTTTTACTTAAAGGGTCCTTATACTTTAGAGTTATGGTTCATTCACTTTAGAGTTAGGGTTCATTCATGGTTATGGTTAGGTGATGTTCTAGGTTATGGTTAGGTTTTAGGGTTAGAGCTAGTGTAAGGTTTAGGTATGGGTTAGGGTTAGTTTAGTATAGCTCTATATGGTTTGGGACCCTAAAGTAAAAGAAGGCCATAACATCTGTCATCAAAATTCAGTAAAGGCATCCATCGTCTATAGTATTTGGGTTAAAGGATTAAAATAATTGCACTTACACTGGTTGAGGTCAATCAAGGTCTGTTGGTGTTTGATTTTGTTGGCAATTCACGGTACTTAGTATACACGAGGGGAACGGTGATGCATAGACACCCAACCCTCCTGTTACACATTACCAGAGTTCTTGAAAAAAAATTCACATGTCAGTTATTTGGGCTGACATTTTAGCTTTTGTTGGCCCAAACAAAATTTTGTCAGTCCAATTTTTTTCAACCAGAATGGGAAAAGATCTCCAGACTTATTAAAATATAACCATAGAGTAAGCTTTTGTTGTTGTGTATTTACTGTATACACTAATGCTAAATTCAAGTTTTTATTTAAACATCAATTAAATTCATATTATTGGTATCTCTGGATATTTCTTTAAGTCTTATTGTCACCGTTTACTGTCAATCACTCCCTGTCTCACTTTTAGCAAGTAAATTTTATTTAGAGTCGGCATAATGTAAATCGACAATAAATGTGATCTTAAGAAAGATTGTAAGGACTATATATCAGTAAATAGCACTCTCTTCCACTGTTCTGTCACTGGCTCTCCCATTTTCATTCTGTGTCCAATGTCATATCACTCTCAATCTGAGTTCCTAATTCAAACCTCTCTCACTCACTTTGTTATCATTTCCCTCTTTATGCCACATTTATTTGGCTGAGGAATGAGAGAGGCCAAGAGGCCTGGTTGTTGTTAATATACAGAACTCTGGTGTTTTATCATAGGTTAGATAGAATAAATCAGAGTGTTCTGAAAGTTTTGAAACATACTAATACAGCAATTCCTATACAGACAATAGTATGATCATAGCAATTTTACTATTGGACACCTGGACCGACAGTCAGGGGTAATACTTATACAAGTCATGTTTATTTACTTGAAGATGTAAGTAATATTTACTTGTATAAGTAAATTTGTAAGATATTTATTTTATATTCCAGGTTTGAATAATCTCCCCTGAAATTTAATTTTCTCCAAAAATGTACTTATACAAGTAATTTTTTTTTACAACCCCTTAAATTCTCAAGTTTTGGGAGGTAAAAAATTTCATGAACTTTAAAGATTATGTATTTTTTTACCTCCCAAAACTTTTATGAATAGTAAAGTCAGCTTTTAATGACAGGCAATAAAACACGCCATTAGAGCAATGTAGTCAAGAGAAATTCAAGAAAAGAAGAAAATAAGACTTTCTTACTTATAGAAGTAAAAAAATGTGAATGTCTATGGGAATTAACTCTACCTCAAAATAATTTACCTGTACCAGTTAATAAAAAACACTTGTATAAGTATTACCTCTGACTGACTGACATGTGGCCAATTTTTGTCAGACTTTTAATTTTTTTATCAGCCAAACCGATAAAGCCGACACTTTACAAGAACTCTGATTACCGCAATTCTTTAGAAAGATAAGCAATTTTTTCAGTAGATAAAATGAGCTAAATGTGTGTTAAAGTCAGTCATGTCAGTGGGTCACTAAATTCTCAAAACCAGACAAGTCAGGGGTGGATCCAGGATTTTAGGTTAGGAGGTGCAAACTTAAATTTTGGTTGATCAGAAAGAGGCGAAATTTTTTTTGAGGTAAAATTATCGAAATATTCTTTATGAAGCTGAGGACAACCTATGCTTTGCAAATTTTAGAGGGGGGCGCACGCCTGCCATGCCCCCGCCTGAATCTGCCCCTGACAATTTCTCTTTAATCTGATTCTAATATTTTTATCAAATCACGTTCCCAGTTTTAATAAACAAAGAATATTTCTTGAATTTTGATTTCATATTTTCCAGAAGCAAGCATTGAAAATGCACAAGGCATAGAAAAAGCACATTTTCAACAACAAAAAATGTATACATGTACATGTAGTACATGTAACTAATTGTATAATTTACTTTCAAAAAGTTTTTATGCTCTCAAATTGTGCATAAACAGTAGCTATTTTTAGGTCAATTTGGGTAATACCACTAACTCACTGTAAGACCTTCAACAACAGGGCAGTAGATAAAACCCTTTCCTGTCTTTTATTCCTTTTCAGGATTTTCCTAAAACATCATAAAATACATATAAAACACATAACCATGATAACAGGCGAATTTGTGAAATATATAAAAAAAATATGATAAATAAAACAAACATGTACTGATAATGTTTGAAAGCTCATCAGGTACAACCTGCTGACTGCTTCATATTAAATTTACGTAATTTTTTTTTAAAATTTGGACAGTCATTTTGGTTATCATGGTTATGACAGTACATGTACATGTATGAGTATGAATGTAATTATTTTCAATTTTGAAATTAAATCTGTTTTGAAGAAATTACCAAAAACAGTGTTGGAACTTGGAACAGAGTTTTTTGGTTCTACAAGAAATATGGTAAGTAATCAAACACTGGTTCAGATGAGAGTGCACTCTGAATCTGGGTCTGTTCGCCTCCTTTCAAGTTGCACCCACCCTGGGTCCATTTGCATCCTTTTTAAAGATTTTGTTTTTAATAATTTTTTGACCATGTTTTAGTTAAGTGTATAAAATAAAGATAAGTTTTTTTATATTGTTTTAAATTAAGTGACATACTAAAAATGTAAACAGGGTTCCTTCAGTGTTTTGTGAATTATTTTGACGAAATGAATAATGAGTAGTCATGATGATCAGGAATGGATCCAGGATTTTTGAAAGGTGGGCGTAATTCCATAAAACCAATTATATATTGCCAAAGATACCAAATGGATATCAGTCTCGTCACACTGACATTGCCACAACATTAAAAAATTATTATATATTTTGATATATACATCTAAAAAAAACATTTATTGGCAGATCATGTTTTCGTACTATGCATGCTTTTTCAATGGAAATTGTGACATCACAATGCATTCTAAATAACATGAACACCCATAATACCAGGATAATAATTTAACCTGTCTTTGAATAAAAATAGGATGCGCATGTATGGTGCAAACTAACGCAGGGGCAAACATGTAGGGTGCGAACATGTTATGGAAGCGAAATGAACCCGCACTGATGCAATCACCTGTACAAAATAGTATGCATAAATCTACAGGTTATTAGCAGTTTAGTTTATATAGTCATGATAGTAATTAGTATGAACTACAATACATCTCTTGGTCAATATAGTATATGATCTCAATCTGGTTTTCTTAATGATTCCAACATTGCTTTTATTCGCTGGATGAGTTTGATGTAACATAAAACGGAAATAGTGCTCACCTTCCCATATAAACAGCAGTTTCTTTCCACGATAGAATTTAGAAAACAACGGTCAGTGACAGTGTTGCAGAAGGACAGGTTGAAAGGTACGCACGATCTGTTATGCTTCCTCCGTTTTTGTCACTACCCAAAATTTGTATGGTAAAATATAATGTTTATTCTAAAATTTGGCATTTCTGATATTAGATGTTGCATTAGAACATAGTTTTAAATTAATTGACATGTCAACGTGGTTACTCTTCCCAGCCGGAAGTAAACATTAACGTAAGTGTCTTTTGCTTCATTTTTTTAAAAAAAATTTTTAAGAATTTTTTTTTTTAAACATTTATTTCCTTGCCTGTTTATGTTAAATCACTCTCAATGCTAGCAAATTATTATTTTGTTTCATATCATTTACTTTTTATCTTTTGCGACAATTGGCAATCGTCATTTCTAATGTTTACTTCCGGACACATGTCAAAGTTATTTTCGTTTTGAGCACAGCTGGATTTGTGTTGTATTGCTTCATGGCTGCTGAAGACATACAAGTTAGAATTTGTCTTCAAGAAATAGTGAAGTTAGATTTAGAGATCAAAGCTTGTATTCAGGTAAAGATTTTTGCTGGTCACATTACTTTACAGGAACAAAAAATTGACATAACACATTTATCTATACTCTTCTTCTTTCGGTTTTCAGTAGTCCTTCATTATCTGAAGATTATATACTGTTTTGCGCTGCATAGCCTAAATATATATTTACAAAAACACAAAAATAATTGAAAATGAATTTGGAGTGCGTAAGAATTTTAAATTGTGATTAAAACTATGTACATAGGCTAATAATGAGTTAAATGAATTTGTGGAGAACAGTTGGTGTAAGCTGTTCTCTGAAAGTGTCGACTGTGGTTACAGCGACTGTGTGGACTGGTAGTAAATTCCACTGAGTAATGGTGTACGGAAAAAATGAAAATTTATATGTATCTTTTTTAGTAGAAATGTCATGAATGTGTCTGAAAGTGAAACTATGATTTTTGCGGGTTCTACTGTCTGATGGTATGAGAATAGCAGATGGGATTGCTACGATTTGATGTACTATTTTGTAGAACATTATCAATCTTGTGCGTAGTCTTCTTTCTTGTAGCATGGGCCAGTTTAGTGAGTTTATCATGTCTGTAGGACTACTGATGTTATGGTACCTGTTACAGACATATCTGGCAGCTCGTCTTTGGACCATCTCAATTTTAGAGGTTTGTTCAGCTGTGTGAGGGTCCCATACTGAACATGAATATTCAAGCTTAGGACGAACTAATGCCAGATATGCCTGGGTTTTGATGTTCTGACATGATGTTTTTAAATTTCTTTTTAAGAAGCCCAAAGATTTGTTTCCATTAGCTATGATGTTGTCTGTATGTTTTGACCATTTAAGTTTGCTTGTAGTGTAATGCCCAGATATTTAGCTGAAGAGACTACTTCAAGTTTGCGATTGTGAAGGATATAGTCATGTTTAAACTGTTTTTTCTTTTGTGATACTGTAAGGACTGTGCATTTGTCTGGATGGAAAGCCATCAACCAGTCTTGTTCCCACCTAGCAGCTGCATCTAAATCTAACTGGAGTTCATCACAGTTACTTTGAGATTTGATGGTTTTGTAGATGATACTCACTGTCATCGGCAAACAGTCTGAGCTTACAGGATTGTAAGTATTCTGGTAGGTCATTGATGTAAACCAAGAATAATACTGGGCCCAGAACTGTGCCTTGAGGGACACCTGAGGTGACTGGAGCCAGGTCAGATGACTCTCCATCCAGGACAACTGTATGTGTTCTGTCATTTAACATGTTTAAGAAGGCAGAGACCCAGTTTAGTGTTTCATTTTGAATACCGTAATAGTTCAGTTTATAGAGAAGTCTTTTATGAGGGACTTTGTCAAATGCTTTGGCAAAGTCCATTATAATTAAGTCTGTTTGTGTGTTGTTGTTGTTATTTGCTGCAAGCTCTTGGATGAATGAAATGAGTTGGGTTTCACATGATCGTGACTGACGGAAGCCATGCTGGAGGTCATACAGTATATTGTTCTTTTCAAGGTGGTTGATGATGTGTTTGGTGATGATATGCTCCATAAGTTTACAGGAAATACTGGTCTAGTTACAATGTACCAACAGAAACAGCATATGAAGTTTCTGTGAAGTTAAGAATTCTATTTCAAGTTGGGTATAAAAAGAGAAAGGGGTACTTATAGAAGCTTAATTTTTATTCAGATGATAATAAGAGGCAGGTATTACTAAGTCTGTATAAACATGATATAAATAACTGTTTAAATACTGGTTTTTAAAGCAATTGCTTTTATGTCATCGCGTATGGCCATCTTTGTGACGCAAATCAGAGACTCCGCCCAGATCAAGCCATAGTATTTTGTTAAACAGGCTCCTGGTCTGTCATTCTTAAACACCTATGTATGTTTTCTAATGCAATACATGGCTTGAAACTTTTGAAAAACGTTAGTGGATTTAAGAGGTTTCAGCATATGTTCTTGTAGATGTATTTTTGTATTTAGGGGGACAACCGTTTGACTATCAAAAAACATAGAAGTCCGAGTGAAAAAAAGTGCATTTTTATACCTGCGATTCCGTTCTCCTTTCGTACGATGTTTCAACAAAATATCGAATCATTTCAGTTGTTGATTTAGTATTGAAAATTTTACTGAATTATCTCTCATTAAATACGGTTTTATATGTTTAATTGGTGTTTCTCTAAGAAAGAGGCCAGGTGCTCTTGTTCATTCATAAAATTATCATTCATTCATAAATTTATCGTAAAATCAAAATCACTACACTGGTTATACGTGGTGTCAAATGATTACCTGCAATCTAAAAATAGACAAACTTAACTGACCTATTTTGTTGATTTGTTTGCGCAAATAATTTAGCGGAACGAAACCCTTGTTAAAAACACATAACAATAAGTTTGTTTTCCTTTTTTGTCATAACTCAGTAAGATTTATCGACCAATTTGCTAATGAAATGGACCTGTCAAAATCAAAACGTGATAGATGCCAAGTCCAGGGGCATGTTTTTTTTTTTTCGGTAGTGAGCCAGAAGATGTCCATTTCTGTTTTTTTTGAATAGGGAAGATCTTTTGGCTCTCTCCCACCTCTTCTTTTTTGATAGGTAGTTTAGACGGTAGAGTCACATAACAAACATGGCGTCGTTTAGTCTAAATGACATTAATAAACTTATGAATGCAGATATATTAGAATGTGAGCTGTGTTATAAACGTTTTTATGGTATGACAGTCTTAGTAGGACATCCCTGTAGGACGATAAGCTGGACAATAACAGTTAAGGGACGACTATTTGATATTCTAGGGAAGGGATTTTGATTGATTGGTGTTTAACGCTACTTTCAACACTAAGTTGGGCTATTCCGTGGTGGTCAGTTTAAATTTATAGATGAAGGATGTGGAAGGGAAGAGGGCATTATTAACTTTTTTAATCTGTCGCTAATTATGCCTATTTTTCAGCTCTTACCAGGCAACCATATGAAATCCTCCTGTCCCCCACCCCAATAAATGAATAAATATCAAATGGTTTTTCTTCTTATTTAACACAAGTTTAAATTGATGGATTGTTTTTGCTAATTTTTAACGCCCAGTGACAAATATGTCATGCATGTTGAGGACTCGGTTCAGGAAAGCACGAGTTTAAAAGTCAGGTATATAATATAAAAACGAAGAGATGTATGATTGCTAATGAGGCAACTATCCACCGGAGTTAAAATATGAAGTGGAAGTAAGCAATTATAGGCAATCGTAATTGAGGCCTTCAACAATGACAAAACCGGATACTGTATTAAAAGTCGTCTATAAGAGGCCCGACGTGAAAAGTGTGAGAAACAATTCAAACGAAAAAACTAACGGCCTAATTATACATAACAAAATATAATTTACAAAATATCAAATATGAGTCGAGGCATGAACCAACGACAACCACTAAACTATAGGCTCCTGACTTGGGACAGGCACACAAAGAATATGGCAGGGTTGATATAAAAACGAAGATTGCCAATGAGACAACCCTCCACAAGAGACCAAATGACACAGCAATTAACAGCTATAGGTCACCGTACGGCCTTCAACAATAAGCAAAGCCCATACCGCATAGTCAGCTATAAAAGGCCCCGAAATCACAAATGTAAAACAATTCAAATGAGAAAACTAATGGTCTAATTAATGTACAAAAAAATGAACGAAAAACAAATATGTAACACAGCAACAAACGACAACCACTAAATTACAGGCTCCTGACATGGGACAGGCACATACATACAGAATGTGGCGGGGTTAAACATGTTAAAGGGATCCGGCCCAACCCACCCCCTAACCTGGGACAGTGGTGTAACAGTACAAGAACATGTTTGTGAGCGCTCAACCCTTCCTAAGCTGGGACATCGGTGTAAAGGTAAAATATAAGAACAACCTGCACAAATCAATTGCAATTAGATTAACTCAAAAGATCGGCACGAGACACACAAAAAAAACTTACATTAAGACAAAAGACACAAAGCACCGAAATAAGAGTATTTGCAATTACTGGAAGTTTGTTCAAAGCTAATTACAACTAGTACTGAAATAAATCTTGTTCTCCCAGACTGAAGTATCAATCATTACACAACCAACGGATTTATTAAAAAAAAAAGAAAAAAAACAGTCTGAGAAATATCTGGTATACATTGTATACTTGCATATTGATACATATACAATGATATTTTTTGAAAAGTGGTGGTCCGAAGCTTTTGACCATCGAAATTTTGCAATAGAAATAATAGTTAGGACCAGAAGATTTGAACTTTTGTTTTATTGATCTTCCGTAGAATATCTCCAGAAGAGGTCCAGATTCATTTTTTTGGACTCTTCACCAGAAGACATTCTAGAGATGTGCAGAAGAGACCAATAAAACAAGCTCCAGCTGAAGAGATATTTACAATTTGGAATTTTCTAGTTTCATAGATTGAAAAAAAGTATGTCCTTTTGGATATCATAATCAAAACTGGGTATGCATGACAAATGATGAAACCATTATCCTCGTCTTTCCAGTGGACGAGTCTACTACGTGTGTTGACACTCGATGGTCCACCGTGTTTGCAATTTTATTTCACATGTTTTCGAAATATTGAAGATCATTTTTCGCAATGTTTCCTGAAAATTGATAAATATCAAAGCAACGAAGAGCTGTTTGTTCTTGTTCGTATAATGACGATTTAATGTCATGTTTGTCTGTGATGACCCCCCTTTTCGGGATTGCATGAGAATGACACATATCAACTGAGCAATAATGTTTGGGACTTAGTTTTAAGAAATGAAAACAAAGTAACATTATGAAAATATTTTTAGTAAGCTGAAATATATATTTATTTTTTACATGTTTATGTCTTGTAAGATATTTTATTTCTTTCACGTTTTTCAACATTTGCGTCTGGAAAGTTGAAATGTTTTAATTGAATGGTTAAATTTAAATTAATTATGATAATTGATAAAATTAAATCAATAAAGGAAATTGCCCAGTTACAAACACTACCAGGGGATAATTTCTTTTTGAGTTATATGTTTCAGCAGGGACTTTCTGTACTATTAGTATAGAAAGTCCCTGGTTTCAGCACATGTAAATGTGACCCCAACTTTAGCCTGGTAAATGTGTTGTCTCCTTGTGAAATATAAAACATATCAAAAATGACTTTCTGCTAAAGTCTTTTATTGATATAAAGTTAAAACCTTCTAACTTCTCACTAGACAACACTCCTGTCAGGTTTAATTCTTATATATATGTGGATGAAAAAGTCCCCAAAACATTAACATGGCAGCAATTGCTTTTACAGCCTTTAAGGCTTTGATTGAAGATTAATAATACAGTAAACTGATTTTGAATCTTTAGTATTATTAAGGCCACCATTTATTTATACATTTTACAAATTATGATATTTAAAGGGCATTAGCTGTCAAATTCATGTTCACCAATTTGACGCACGTTCTCATATTTGATTTATAACATACTAAAATGTGTATCCAAATTATAAAAAGTCCAAAATAATGACCATGCATGTACTCGATAATATGTGCAAGTATTTCGTGTGTATTTTAGTCTAGACGTCATCTTAATAACCATCGAGGTGACCTCCGAAGACTGCTCACAGTCATATAACCCAATATAAACATAAATATAGATATAAATAGATAGCGAACTTGTGCAATTGAATTTTTTTTGGTCTGTTTAATTTCATATTAAAGGTTATAGAAATATGTTAATCATCAGTTTTACCTGTATGAGAATGCGTTTTTTGTGGATAGATTAAGTCAACCAAATGGTTTATCCTTGTTTCACTTTCAATGTTTACATTCTTTTGCTTTTAAGAGCTGAACACGCCTAGTTCATACGTAACCCATTTCTAGCTAAGGGGTTAAATTGCAGGCAAAATTCCCAGTCTAATTTCCTGTGAAAAAGTAACTGAATTACGGAAACGTATCCGAAGTTGGTCCTAGTGTTAGGAATTTTATATGTGACATGGTTTTCAATGTAAACAAAAAAAGAAAAGTTTAATTAATAACATAATTGATGGGTGGTTGCTTTACTCAGCCTCAACAAAAAAAGAAAAGTTTAATTAAAAACATAATTGATTGGTGGTTGCTTTACTCAGCCTCAACAAAAAAAGAAAAGTTTAATTAAAAACATAATTGATTGGTGGTTGCTTTACTCAGCCTCAGCACAAAAAGGCTATAACACGGCAAATAAAAACATACTAATTTATACCTACAAAAAACGAATATACAAAGTTGTCTTATTACTGATCTTTGTTCATATACAAAAATCTGCCTGATTGATCTGAGGTGAGTTTCTCCAGAGAACTCATTTTGTTTGCTATTTATAAATCCAACTTTTTCCATACTACTAAACATAGACTTTGCATGTTTTAGTTGTCTATTTATTGATAAATGTATGTTGTAGATTCTTGAGCATGTACATGTCTTTGAAGTGGTTCTGGAATTTTTTTACTATTTCAGGATATACGAACACAAGCAGATTCCAGGGAAGCATTAGAAGATATTAATACTGAAATAAGGGGTAAACTCCGTAAACTACGCAAGAAGATCGAGGTAACTTATAAATGGCATTATGAATAAAAATAGATATGCATTCTGTTATACATGTACTTGTACATTTGTTTTTCTAATTGACTTGTGTAAATGATCTATGTCTACAGATCATTTTTGCATTTTATTGTTTTGAAATATATTGTTTCTTTTCTGACAGTCACAAGTTAAACTTATTGATCAAATTTTATCCTCAAACTTGTATTTAGAATAAAAGAAAGGGATATTAGAATAACAAATTTAAGCCTGGTCAAAGGAGATTGAAAATGGATGAAACTGTCAAACTGACAATTTTAGAGAATTCAATCATAGTGATTTTAAAACAACCCGACAATATTTCTTATAAACTTATGAAGTTAATGACTAGAAGTATCTAAAAATGTGACTAATATTCTGAGAGTATAGCGATCAAATGCTTTATATTATGCAGATATAAAGAATAACTTTACATTATATTAAACATGACTATCTTAATAAGATAAAACAAAGAACTTAAACAAGAAACATGATATATTTTAGATAAAGAAAAGAACTTAACGAAGTATTTAACAAGAATTAACCTAGATGTAGATTAATGATTTCACTTTAATGATAAATGTGTGAGGTGCATTTTATGCTAATATATAGATATAAGAAGATGTGGTATGAGTGCCAATGAGACAACTCTTCATCCAAGTCACAATTTGTAAAAGTAAACCATTATAGGTCAAAGTACGGCCTTCAACACGGAGCCTTGGCTCACACAGAACAGCAAGCTATAAAGGGCCCCAAAAATGACGTATAAAACCATTTAAATAGGAAAACCAACGGTCTAATCTATATAAAAAATGAGAAAGGAGAAACACTTATGAACCACATCAACAAACGACAACCACTAAACATCAGGTTCCTAACTTAGGACGTTTTAATAGGCGCCAACCTTCACCCTACCTGAAACAATAGTGTAACATCACAACATAGAAAGACACACTATAAAATATCAATTGAAATGGCTTAACTCAAAAGACATATTAACAAAAACAAGTGAACATACAATGAATGAATAAATTTGATCTATGACACAATGTAAATACAAAATTAATAAAACAAGAGAGTTAGATGTTTAACAATATCAGAAAGACAACCATAACCTTAATATGCTAATTTCATCTCTCTATTATTATCAAAGTACAGTCCTTAAATCTAAATTTTTTATATTCAGTTATATCTGACTTGAAATTATTGTTTGCACTACCTCGAACTGATGTTTGGATGTAAGAGTCATCCAGTCACAAAATTTTTTTTTAAAGAGTAAAACCGTTGTAAATTTATAAATACATGAAGTTTAAGAGTCATTGGGATTGGGTTGGTCAGGCTGTGACAAACGATTGTCATTTTGGGATATTTTTTTTTATCTGAATCATGCTTTGGGACTCAACTTTTTAGCTCACCGGGGCCCCTTTGGGCCCCGTGTGAGCTTATGCCATCACTTGGCGTCCGTCGTCATCCATCGTCTGTCATCGTAAACTATTTAAAAAATCTTCTCCTCTGAACTACTGGGCCAAATACCTTCAAACTTTAACTAAATGTTCCTTAGGGTATCTAGTTTATAAATTGTATCAGAAGTTTTGATCCATCGACAAACATGGCCGCCATGGCTAAAAATAGAACATAGGGGTCAAATGCAGTTTTTGGCTTGTATCTCAAAAACTAAAGCTTTTAGAGCAAATCTGACACGTGTAAAATTATTTAATTGGTCAAGATCTATCAGCCCTGAAATTATCAGACGAATCGAACAACCCATTGTTGGGTTGCTGCCACCGAATTGGTAGTTTTAACAAAATTTTGCAGTTTTTTGTTATTATTTTAAATATTATTAAAGATATATATAAACTGTAAGCAGCAATAATGTTCAGCAAAGTAAGATCTACAAAAAAGTTAATATGACCAAAATTGTCAATTGATCCCTTAAGGAGTTATTGCCCTTTAAAGACAATTTTACACGATTTGTTCACCAAGTTTGCTAACATTTAAATATCTTCTCCTCTGAAATACAGGTGAGCGATTCAGGCTCTTGAGAGCCTCTTGTTTGTGGTGCCATATCAAAAAGACCTTCTATTTGCAGGGGCATTTCTAGGATATTTGAAAGAGGGGGTGTATAATGACCTTTTTTTGAGCATAAAAACATTAAATAATTGTGAAATGCACTCATGTAACAGTTCCTGACTTGGAGCATGTATATTTTATAGTTAAAGTGTCAGGGTTTGACATTTTGCCGAATTCTCTCCATTAATTGTCTATAGTATATTAAAATGATTGGATGGATCTTAACAGCAGTAGACCAATAATGAGAAATTCCAAATTCTAGGGTATAAGGCATTACTTAACATTTCAATAGTCCTAGGCTAGAATTTTATGAACGGGAGGCGAAATTACGGTTGCCCTGGTAGAGGGTCTATTGGGAAGCTCAGAAGCTCCTGGATTTCAACAATTTAACATCAAATTATGAAGTAGCCAGACTGATAAATATCTCTCTATTTTAGATTAAGTTCTGGTTTCGTTGAACGACACACATGATACAAGACAAACAAACACTGAAGTATAGAGTTCTTTCGTTCTAAATATTGTAGGCTTTAATATGGAATACATGATTGAATATGAAAAATTGACGTCATTGTACTACAGTACTAAATTAAAGCAATCATGTCACTGTCTAGTTCCGATAGGTGGTATATGGTACATAAATAAATATGGTGCTTGAACTTCATGGCATAATGTAGGTCAATGTCACTTAGTTACTCACTAATGGATATTGAAACAATATGATACTACCAAAGGCTAACCAGATGGGAAGTAAAAATGCTATACCAAATATACATGTTACTAGTATAAATGTACCTTAACACAAAACCTAAAATGAACATAGAAATACTGACGGACTCTCATGTAAGACTAGAGTGGATTCATTAGAACCATTTCAGAGTGTGTGTTTAATTAATGAATATGATAAATTGCCATATTCAATACAATATTAGATTACGATAGTTTTTTTGTTTTTTTTTTAAAAGGGGGGGTGTACGCCCATTACGCCCTCACCTGGACCCGCCCCTGATTTGGATACAGAAAAAGAACCCTTTACACACTAAAATTTGTAATACTGTTAAAGTTTGTTATTATATGGGACCAAACTGAGTTTATAATAGACAAGATGATTTCATAATTTAATTTGAAAATTGAACTGAAACTACTATGTTTGATCTTTTTTAGGATCTAGAAAGACTTGCTAATGAACAGGACAGAGAAGAGGATAGAATTACCTTATTACATGATGTTGGCAACCACAAACAACAACTTACTAAGTATGTCACAGTGTGTTATAATACTAACCATTCAGGAATCTGATGTTCAGTAGTTGTCGTTTGTTGATGTGGTTCATAAGTGTTTCTCGTTTCTCGTTTTTTATATAGATTAGACCGTTGGTTTTCCCGTTTGAATGGTTTTACACTAGTAATTTTTTGGGGCCCTTTATAGCTTACTGTTTGGTGTGAGCCAAGGCTCCGTGTTGAAGTCCATACTGTGACCTATAATGGTTTACTTTTATAAATTTTGACTTGGATGGAGAGTTGTCTCATTGGCACTCATACCACATCTTCTTATATCTATGTGTTTACAAAGTTTCATCCAAATTGTCATTTTTGTACCCACCTGTCAAGTGTATGTGATACTTTTAGTAAATCCTTCATCTTAAAGACTTTCAACATAAAATCATTCATGATCAGTAAAGCAGGCAAGACATTTCAGTATGTACTCTCTTGTTATTTAATTCAGAGCTGTTTAAAAAAAGACAGTAGTTAAAATCAGAAATGCTCAGGTGAAACTCTAGCAAATCTGTCACTTTCATAAGGAATTTTCACCTATAAAGTAGTTTTTGATAAAATATAAATTGAACGGTTCAGATATTAGAAAACTGGCTAACACATGAAGCCATGATTAAGGGTTTGTACTATAAATCTATATAAAGGCTGACAAACACTCTATCCTAACAATCCATATACTGCCTATTAGATATGATGTTAAAACTTACTGAGTTTGTTTGTAATAGGGAGGTTTTTATACCCCTGCTGTAGTGGAAGCGGCATTAAGGTTTACCCTTGTACGTCCGTACATCCCGAAATTGGTTTCAGTTCTCTAACTTTAGTTTGCCTTAACCAAATGTTATGAAACTTATACACAATGCTTATTAACACAAAATATAAATAAACACAGATTAGTTACAAATATTTAAATTATGAGGTTTTCACCTTTTTTTTGTTGTATATAAATGTACACATTACATGAATATAATACAATTTTTCAGTACTGTATCAACACTTAGGCAGTCGAACCTGTCAGCTCAGCTTGCAATCGATCGATCAGAAAAAGACCAGCTTTTAAATGGAGGCACAGGACTCCGGAAGAGGTAAAATTCTGCCTAACTTAAGCATAAATCTAAAGTTTATTCTTTACATTGAACCTTTTCTCTGAAAACTATGATTAATTTATTAGATTTTGACTCCGTGAAAAATATATACCTGTAGTCTGATACTATAACAGATGAACCAGTAATTTTATGATTTACAGAGGTGGTAACAGTAAAGAAGGACTGGCTAAAGTGGCTTCAGATATAACAGAAAATTTAATGACCCTGAATCGAAAGATTGCTGACCAAGTGAAACAAAGTGAAAGTACAAAATCTACACTGTGTAAGTTATTTCTGAAAAAAAGTATTAAAGAAAGTGCCATACAAAGATATTAACATACATATTGTGGATTTCAAGTTGACTCAAGGGACTGCCTTAATTTGTTGTAAGGTGTAGCTCTTCCTTACATCACAGAAGACAGTGGCGGATCTAGAAATTTTCATAAGTGGGGGCCTACTGACTGCCTAAGAGGGGGCCCGCTCTAGTCATGCTTCAGTGATTCCCTATATAATCAACCAAATTTTTCCCAAAAAGGGGGGCCCGGGCCCCCTCCCCCCCCCCCCCTAAATCCGCCTCTGGAAGACTTTCCAGCTTCTTCAAGGTTAAGAACAGCAATAAAACCACTGCTACTTTTGTATATTGGTTATTTTCAAATATTTCATTGGTTTGTTACAACCACTTCTTATCCTTTCATGAATGACACAACTTTAATATGCAGTACTGACCTTCAATTCTGCAGTTGTATGCTGGACACAGATGCCATTTGATGTTGATTGAACATTAACATCTTAATATTGTTCAATGTTTTGATTTATAATTAATTTTATTATATAACTTGGAAAATTTTAATATGTGTGAGGTATCACGAAATTCAGTATGTCTGTTGTAAGAAAAAAGGTAATTAGGAAGTTGAACTGTGAGCTACACTTCTTGAAAGTTAAGGTTAAAAGTACATTAATGGACAATCTCTTGGTTCTTTTGAAATTCTACTGCAACTTGAGCATGTGGAACTGAATCTTAATATACAAAAGGATATATATTAGATTTACTTCCAGAATTATAGTGATTTAAACATGCTATCCTTAATTTATCTGTGTACATAAACCATACACATGATGGTGTCATCATATAATTAAATCATTTCAAATGCTAAAACCTTTACATTTTTCTTTTGTTTCAGTGAAGTCTTCAACAACTATCACCAGTACACAAGAAGAAATGAAATCTATGGGAGGTCATATAAAGAATTCACAGAGACTTATAACAAAATATTCTAGAAGACAGTTTACAGACAAACTACTTATTTTCTTAGCATTAGTGTTTTTCTTTGTGACAGTTCTATATATTATGAAGAAGAGAATATGGTAGCGTCTATAGTGTATTTATTTAATAAATTGTTTTTAATTTTAAATGTTAATATAAAGTTGTCCATACAGTGTTCTATGTAAAACATATACACATTTGCTGACATTGCAAGTATAGTTTGGCTGTGTATTGATAACTATTGATGATAGAATTAATAAATTTGTGAGGTGAACTTCTTGGTTAAATGAATGCAATAGGCGAGTTCACATTCAAATCTTCTAGAGGAAGAATTTATTAATTTTTCAGTAGAATTTCTCTATTGAATGAATAAAATGGTTAAATTCACAGGTGTTCTAGTAGATATTTGAACTTCCTATTCAGAGGCGGATTCAGCCATTTTTAAAAGGGGTGTTCCAACCCAGGATAAACGGGGGCAACCCCTGGATCCACCACTGCTTTTATATTTTTTCCATTCAGTTTTTCTACAAACTCCCATTGTTTTACAATTACAACACCTGTTGATGGTTGTGAAAAAGATGTTTATTTTACACTTCAGAAAAACCATTGATTTGCATCAAGTTTTCTTCCAGTCTGGTTATACCGTTGAGGTAACTTAGACTAAATGTTCTTACTGAGGCATAAACAAGTATGGAACAAATTTAACAGAGATTTTTAATACAAATGTATTGTGCTGTTACACCACTGTCCCAGATTAGGGGAGGGTTGAGTGCTCTCAAACATGTTTAACCCCGACGCATTCTTTATTTGTCTGTCCCAAGTCAGGAGCCTGTAGTTCAGTGGTTGTCGTTGGTTCATGTCTGTCATATTTGTTTTTCGTAAATTGTTTTGTTATAAATTAAGTTGTTAGTTTTATCAATTGAATTGTTTCATATTTTTCATGTCTGGGCCTTTTAAAGACAACTATACGGTATGGGTTTTTTCTCATTGTTGAAGGCTGTACGGTTGCATATAATTGCTTATATTCCTCTTCTTTTGAACTCTTGTGGATAGTTGTCTCATTGGCAATCATACCACATCTCCTTATTTTTATAACTATGAAATATCAATCTATTAATTTTACAATGCTTAAAGCTGTTAATTGACTTTTCAATATAGACTTGAATATATTTCAAACAATTGGTATAAATACAATTCATAATGTTGTACTCGAGTAATCATAAAAATTAAATTCTTAACAGGGACTATATGTTCCAGGAATATAAAGTCAGGTATCTAGAAACCAAAAATTGTACTTAAAATTCATTTGACAGAGTGCCAATGTACTTAAAAAAAAAAATTCACTTAAAAGTGATATGAACTGAGTTCCATGTAATTATTATGTTGAAATTATTGAACCAATGCATGTGTAAGTACTGAACTAAGTCCTTTATGCACAATTTATTTACTTTATTACGAATCCAGAATGTATAATCGACAAAAAATATTTCATTCAGTGAAGTTTTTGCATGCTGTGCTAAAAAGCTTTACGATTTTATTGCCAAAGGTTACCAATCTTGACCTTAATAAACATTCAACACATAATCATAAAGCACATAAAAATAAGTGAGGTGATAAACATGCAATAGTTCTTGTGGTTAAGGTCACTCATACTGAAAAGCTATCTGTTAGTTAGAGGACAGGAAGACAATAATTCAATAGCAGTACATTTCTGAAAATTTTCATCAGATGAAGAATTTTCTTTTAAAAGAAAGTCCACTTCACTTGTTTTATATCATATGACTTGAAAACAATTGAAAAAAGTCTTACCGGTACAAGCCAGGTCTTGAACCACATACCTAGTTTAAATATTATCAACTAGATGTTTCAGAACGACATGGATGGCCCCGCTGACCAAAAAAGCTTGAAGCTCTTTTTAGAAGTGGAAATTTTCAAAGTCCAAAGCTTGTATTTTCGGCAAAAATCACCGGAGTGTAACCAAACATAAACTTGATCTGTAACTCATCATAGTAGACTCACATACTAATAAACTGTTGACACAGACATATGTCTCGCCTGTCGGCATAAAATTCAGAAAAAGACAAGTGATGGACAGCAACAATGCTTATTATTTCAGTCACTGGACAATGATCTTGTGGGCAGGGCCTAGAAATGATCGACAAACTGATATACAGACAGTAATGCAACTTTATAAAAAATATTGTTGTCTATTGTAAGAAGTTCCTATCAATCTAACTTCAGCAGAAAACTTAACATTGAAATTGCTAAGTTGTAATGCAACTTTGTATTAAATATCAATGATCTATCACAAGCTAACTTATAAATAAGCAGAAAACTTAACATTGTAAATTACTAATTAATACAAAGTCGCTGAACCTTGACCTAGGGGGCAGGGCCTCAAAATAGTCGTCGAACTGATATGTACTGTTAGTAATGCAACTTTCATAGGCGGATCCTGGGTGGCCCTGGCCCCCCTTTTGTGGGAAAAATTTGGTTGATTATATAGGTGAAAGATCGGAGCAAGACTTGATAGTTCAGATAGTAATTTAATAATGGCTAACAAATATACAAGTCATATGGCCGTAGCCACATAACGTAATAAATGAACGTCTCGAAGGTTTGTATGTTGTTTTCCTGGAATAATCTAAGATATTACAATAGGGAATCACTGAAGCATGACTTGAGCGGGGCCCCCTTATAAAAAGTTCTGGATTCGCCACTGACTTTATATTAAATATCATTGACCTATCACAAGTAGATCCTATCAAACTAACTTAAGCAGAAAAACTTAACATTGAAAATTGCTAATGGATTCCAAGTCGCTGAACCTTGACCTAGGGGGCAGGGCCACAAAATAGTTGTCAAACTGATATGTACTGATAGTAATACAACTTCATAAAAAATATCATTGATCTATCACAAGTAGATCCTATCAAACTAACTTGAGCAGAAAACTTAACATTGAAAATTGCTAATTAATTCGAAGTTGCTGAACCTTGACCTAGGGGGCAGGGCCACAAAATAGTTGTCAAACTGATATGTACTGATAGTAATACAACTTTATATTAAATATCAATGATCCATCACAAGTAATTCCTATCAAACTAACTTAAGCAGAAAGCTTAACATTGAAAATTGCTAATTAATTTGAAGTTGCTGAACCTTGACCAAGGGGGCAGGGCCTCAAAATAGTCATCAAACTGATAAGTACTGATATTAATGCAACTTTGTATTAAATATTAATGATCCATCACAAGTAGTTTCCATCAAACTAACTTATTAAAGCAGAAAACTTAACAATTGTTAAGGCCGTCATCCTTGTCTCTATCGCTGGAAAAGCTATCCCTACGTCTCACTTTCGACGACAAAAGTCACAGGCGAGTCAAAGAAGAGCTCAATATGTGAAGGCGTTTAGAAAAAAGTCTGTTTAACTGTTCTTTACTGTATGACGGACAAACGGATAAGGGTAAATCTATATGGCCCTGCATGACCTAAGTCAGTGGGGCCACAAATATTAAGACATACTGAAGATATTTCGTCTAGATACTATACTAAAATTTAAAGAATTTCATAGTGTACACCTATTCTTAGCAACTATGACCTTGAAATTTGACCAACTGACCTTTTTCTAGTTTCAACCACTTGTATTCTTAAAATCTAACAAGTATACCTCAAACCATCCAGAAACAACAAATTGCAATGATTTTTGATGTATTTTCAGTCTGTGATCTGAAAATCAATAGGATACTTATACTTTTCATTGTAAACCAAAAAACTTGACACAGAGATGAGTCTCAAGTTTTATAATTTTGATGGTATAATGCAAATGTTGAAACTAAAATGACAATATCTAAACATGTAAACTATGCAAATCATTCAGTGAATGAACCATGATGGTGGTGGGGGGGGGGGGGGGGCTTATTATCTCCATGGAATAGAGACTTGCTAATGCCAATACAACTGCATATCAAATACCATTGACTTAACATAAGTCTCTCATTTAAACTGACCTGATCACAAACTAATACATGTAAACTATGTATGTTTATTATTTAATGTTTACTTATTAAGTGTTATATCTAGTCTCGCTATTTTTAAGATATACCACCTTTGATAAGTGTTTAGTATGACGATAAATTTTCATTTTTGTTCTTGTACTAGGAACAACAAAATTATTTCTGTACTCCATGAATACCTTACAGCAAAATTATTTTTATTTACCTGTGTACGTTATTTTATTTGGAGGCATTTTGTCCAATGTTATGGTTGTCTTTCTGATATTGTTTTACGTCCAACCCCCTTGTTTTATTAATTTTGTATTTACATTGTGTCATAGATCAAATTTATTCGTTCAGTGTATGTTCACTTGTTTTTGTTTATATGTCTTTTGATTGAGTTAAGCCATTTCAATTGATATTTTATAGTGCGTCTTTCAATGTTGTGATTTTACACTATTGTTTCAGGTAGGGTGAAGGTTGACGCCTATTAAAACGTTTAAACCCGCTGCATTTGTTTGCACCTGTCCTAAGTCAGGAACCTGATGTTCAGTGGTTGTTGTTTGTTGATGTGGTTCATAAATGTTTCTCGTTTCTCTTTTCTCGTTTTTTATATAGATTAGACCGTTGGTTTTCCTATTTGAATGGTTTTACACTAGTAATTTTTGGGGCCCTTTATAGATTGCTGTTTGGTGTCAGCCAAGACTCTGTGTTGAAGGCTGTACTTTGACCTATAATGGTTTACTTTTACAAATTGTGACTTGGATGGAGAGTTGTCTCATTGGCACTCATACCACATCTACTTATATCTATAAGCAAACGTTTCAGTCAATAGACCATGACTGAGGAGCAGGAACAAAATAATTCCCATGGAGATGAGAAGTGCCAATGCTAATACAACTGCATACCTAATATCATTGACCTGCCACTCATGGTTCACGAACAAACACTAACTACATGTACTACATGTAAAGTAAGCAAACATTTTCTAAGTCAATAGACAATGACTGAGGGAGTGGGGCCTTAATAATCTCTATGGAAATGAGATGAGCTAATACTATTATACAACTGCATACCAAATATCATTATCCTACAACTAGTTTTTCCCCATAAACTGACCGAATCACAAACTAATACATGTAAACCAAGCAAA